AAACAATGGGCCGCGTTGAGCGGCTGCAGGAGTACATAATGGATTCGCGAATATCGCAATAGAGGTAGGTAATTTATAACCGAAACGTTGGAAAAGTGGGCGATCACCGGAAAATGGGAGCTAAAAGGAGAGGAAAAAACCGACCGAAACAAAGATAGAGTCCGGGGGGGGCTAGAAAATCGAGCTAAAACGCGAGAACGCACCGGGAAGCAATCGAAGCGGCTTAATTAACCGAATCAAACTATGCACTCGCAGTATTTCAGTACGAATACTTCTGGATGGTCGATCAAAGGGTCCGAGAGCACGGTACGGGTGAAAAAGCGCGGGAAAATACGAAATAACCAACGAACAAATGAAATTGGAAGAACTAATAAAAAAACGGGGGAAGGAGAGAAAACCGAGAATTTCCGATGTGGCTCGCGCGTGCATCTCTACCGATCGATATCGACGTAAGTTACGAGCTTCAATTTTCTTCTGTTTCTTGGGGGGGTTCCATCCATTTTCCTTTCGTCCACTGTTCCACCGCGAGCTACCGCTATTCCGGCAAAGACAGTGGAATCATCGCCGCGCGTCTGGCGTCCTCTCAAAGCTTTCCCAAAATTACTTAAGAACTCAGAGACCCGTGAGCCCAGACTGCTCGAAATTAGTTTCCGTGAAAGCTCTTCGCCATTAGGCATGCACGCTTCCCAATTCGTTAAGAGGGTACTATTAAGGAACCATCTTTACCTCGACAAACTCATCCTTCAGACACTTTCCCTCACCCCTTTACACCCCTGAAAATCGTCCTCGCCTCGGGTAAAAATTTCTCTGCTAGAATCGCGAGATACCGAAAGAGTACCAACGAGTCTCTTCGGACAAACTGGACGCTAATTTTTTTATTCATGCTACGTAATTTTGTACTGGATGAAGTCGGTAATAGAGGACCATGGTCAGACAAAAGATATTAAACGAGTCGTTTAAATTTTAAAAAAAGGAATCGACCCATTCACAAGCCAATTCGATCGAACGGTCCGGCATAAAAAGGACGACGCTATTTCAAGTGATGCTCTATCGAATATTAAAAGCAATCTCCGTTCAGTGTCAACTGGGTCATCGTGTTTCGCGTCGGAGGAATTTATAGATACCAGCGTGAAAGTTTTTCGGAGAAACCATGCGAAGACCACAATTCAGATATTCACTAAACAACGAATGTTCCAAGTTTTTACGGGATTTATGTGAGTATTTTCTCGTTGCAAGGGCACATCGACAGGCAAGTAGGCGTTCGTACGAAATAGTAAAAAGAGCGTACACGCGATTTATGGGTACGAATCGTCGATATCGCTTTAACGACGCTGAAGAGAACGAGGCGAGTTATCGATTCGTTTCGATTGCCGAAAAATGGTAATGCGAGAGAAGGTCTCTCTACCCAGAAAGTACTGCACGTGCTCTAGAAACGCGGAACTCTACAGGACCCATTAAGACGTCGCGGAACATTGGATTAACAAGTTTCATTTGCAATTCTTAAACGAGCTCATCGAATCAGGTCCTTTAATATCGCAAAGTGCTTTAAGTCAAGGCGATTATATTTCACGGTTAAGAGAGTACAGAAAATCCGTTGCCAATAGGGAGAGAATTTAACCCGTCGCGCCGCGTTCGAGTGTCTCTCTAGCCGAACAACTATTCAGGATGCAATCTAAACAAACTACGCCTCCACCTTCTTTTACCCCCTTTTAAATCGCTTCACGTCCGGGTAAGAGAAATAGTTTCCTTCCGGGAAGAGGAATGATCCTGGGGGAGAGATTTTCGAAAGAATTTTCCACCGACCGAGATACCCATCGCATCCCGATGGTGACGCGACCCGTGATTCATGAATCTCACGGTTAGTCGGTTAAGAACGACCGGAACCGATCGACGACACGGTTCGAAACGTGTTCACCGATTGCCGAGAGTAAGACAGGCGACCTTGATTCATCGCCACGGAGTTAAGCCTATTCGCATAATCAGACAGCGACGTATCACCCCTGCCATTAATTACGGGACTCGTGCGACACGCATTTATCAGGTTAAACGCTTGGAGAACCACGGAGATTAGGCAGACAGAGTTGGCAAATGGTCGTGTCAACGAAATCGAACGTTTCGATCGGCCAAGCAAAAGGTCTGCGTTACCCATCGTAAGTCCAATCGCTTTAACGATCCTCAAGTAAATCGAATTGTTCTCCAAGTGATTTTAATTTCTACTGCGAGATAAGGCGGCGATAAGTAACGAAGAATCGTTATCAGATATAAATTGACTATCTCCCTCGAATGGAAATTAATGCAACGTGAAACTAACGCGAAATGAATTGGAATCACAATAGGAATTTCAAATTCATGCACGCGTTACTAGCGGTTACCAACGATCGCCTAAGAACAAATGAATTCTGGAATAATTCCGCTGAAAGTTTCCAGGTTTAAATACCACTTTGAACTTGGCAAATTCGAATTTACATACCTATAGACAAGTTTTAATGCGCTTCCGTCTCCCCGAAGGAAATACGCCGCATCGTTGTCTATATATTTTCTTACGAATTCCTCAACGCAGTTACAAGATAAACGAGGGACTGTTTAATATGCGACAATGCTTGAGCTAACCCCTTGAATACGATAATTAGATCCACTTTCATCCGCAAACGTAGAAAGTATCGTAAGAAGGGAAAGAAGGCAACGGTAGAAGAAAACGAGAGGGAGGGGGTTCGCCAACCTTCCTCCGTCTCTCTCCGGCCTTCGTAACCTCCTGAACGAAAGGACCCTCGGCAACCCTTGGCGCCTTCGACACCCCCGGCTACCAAACAAGACCAAACAAAATTCGTTCGCAGGCGTTCAGACGAACGCAAATAGAGTCGCTCTTGAATTAGACATCGATCTAAACGGATTATCCTTGAGAAACGCGTCCGTTCCGATGTAACAAACGCGATATAACGACCCCCTCGACCTCCCAACAGGCTTCATACATCAGAGCGGTGCCCCTTTTAACTGCCACTCAATTTAAGACCCTCCCGTGGCTACATTTCCCTAATGGAACCCGATGTTAACCGATAAGCAGCGCGATAACGCTCGCGTTAACATAACATAACATTCGGCTCTCCGCCGAGTGCAATTTCCAACGGTTTTCCCTCTTCACGGGAACGAAAGATAAACGTGAAACAGGGCCTGCATACACACATACGTGTACCGGTAAAAGGGTTTTGATCAATAATACGATATAAAAAAAAAAAAAAAAAAAAAATGAAAGTCGGAGTACAATTGTTTTATGCATCTGCACGAATGCAGTAGTATCTGAATACATCTTGGCAAGAATACAATGAATTTTCCGACGCTTTTACAAAAGAAATATATTGGAATTGTTTATATTTCATTTGCCTGGTCGCGGGCAAGAATGTTTTGTTTACGCGATGGGAGAATTTTCCATCGTGCAGAATAACACGCGACGTTAATTAATCCACCGCGGAGTAGTACCGTAAATGTAACGCGTATATCGAAGCATATTTATCTGGAATGCTGTTCCGAAGTGAAGGAGAGGGAAAGAACTATTACGCGAAACTGTTTACATTTCATCCCCCGCTTAAGATTGTGTTTACGAAGCGAAGGTGAGCGTACGGCGAATTCCTGTCGTCTATCGCGAGTAGAAAAAACAGAATATCGCGAGATAAAGACGCGGTTAAAGGTGTTTTCGAGCGTGGAGTGGTAGGGGGGAGGGGAAGGTCGCGTGGTTACGAGGAGACTTTGACGACGGGGAATACACGCATACACGAGACGCCGGTTTAAATAGGAGAGCCACGAGCGTCTCGAACGCGACTTTGCGGCCGGGAAAAGCAAGCTGCGTTCGAGATCGATGAGGGAGACCTGCAGCACGGCCGCCTAACCCTTGCTCGCGTTTTATCGAGCCGTGGCACACGTACGTGTGCTCCCGCGAGCCAGAAAAAAGAGAGAGAGGCGGAAAATACGCGGTCGGCGGGGGGGTCGTCGCACGCGGCTTCCGGACGCGAGTTCCTCGAGTCGTTTTCCGCGAGCTTCGTAATCTAATTATCGAACAGGTCGAACGAGGACCAACGCTCCCGGCGTAGCAACGGCAATTAAGCTCGCGTGTCATCGCATCGCTCGCGATGAACGCGTCTCCCTCTGGCGCGAGCCGGCCGCGAGGGAGAACAAGGGAGAGTAAATATTCGAAAAGGGTGACATCGACGCGACGGTCAGAGACTGCGGCATGCATGCAGGTGTAATAAATATCGTTTGGTTACTCACCTTTTGGCGACGATCACTCCCGGGCCGGACGAACGATGACCGAAGTACAACCGGAGAGAGAGAGAAGCGGAAAGCTTGCTGGTGGCTCCAAAAAACAGCGAGTACGATGACTACCGGCGAGGACGAACCACGACGACGTTCGTACGAGTCTCACGTTTAGACTACGTGCGTCTCCCCCGGTGGTGGCGGTGACAGCGGTGGCGGTGGTGGTGGTGGTAGTGGCGTCGGCGTCGGCGTCGAGGGGCGGTAGCGGCGACGGTAGTGGTAGTGTACAGTCGCTTTCCGTCCTTCCGAGCGTAGGAGAAAGAAGGGTAGACGGCTGAGCAGAGAGAGATGGAGACGGCAAAAGAGCCGATGAGATCGAAGTCTCGTGGCGTACGCTCGTAGACTGAGTGAACCCGACGAGTGAGCGACTGAGCGTGCGAGTCGCCGCGAGGCCGACGGTGGCGCCACGCCGCGTAGGGTTGACGCATCACCATCGATCGAAAATGGTATGAGGCTGAAAGCTCGCGCGAGCGGCAGAGGGGTGCGAGGAGCCGGTGCAGCCGTCGGAGGGTCGAAGAGGGTGCACGGACCAACGGAACCCTACCGTCGTGGCGACAAGAGCGAAAGGGAGAGGGAGAGCGACGAGTCGAGTCGGGAAGAGGGCGGGGCGTATTGCGTACCACACGTTCTCCCGACTCTCTCTCTCTGTCTCTCCCGGCGGTCCTACGTACGCGTCTTTTCCTTCCTCTCGAGCTTTCTCCCTTTCTCCATCTTCCCCTCGCCCCCTTCGCGCGCCTTTCTCAACGTTCCTTATTTACTACGCTCTTTTCCGAGTGTCCCGCGGCACTTGTCTATTTCTATGTTTGCATATATTTTAATCTCTCGCTTTATTCTCCTCTCTTCTTCGCACGTTTTTCCCCTTTGTCCACTGTTTACCCGCACCCGTGTCTCGTACACGAGTACACCGCGGCATCTCTCGTTCTTCCCGCGTCTCCCTATTTCTTTGTCTCATTCTTCCTGCAGGCTTTTGCTCCTTAGACGAGTGTACCGTAGCCCCTGTCTATTTCTACATTTGCCTATCCTTTAATATCTTCTTGGCGCTCTTTGAATCGCCTTTGTGCTTACTCGATTAATTTCTCACCCCTTTCTCTGCCTTTGCGATACGCTAGAATGCATTTCCTTTCTTGGATCTCTCGACCCCCCTGACCACCCTCGGAGCCATCGTGTCTTTTTGCTCCGTTTCCCTCGGCTTTCTCGTTTGTATTCGGTTTCTCTTCTTCCCGATCGTCGTATCCCGATACCGTCTCCCGCAGCTTCCTACAGCGGCAGCTTCGAAATTCAAAATCCGCCTATCAAGGAGAATTCCGCTCGCGCCAAGCTGCAAAACACGCATACATCTACTGTACGTGTAGCACGATGAAAATTTAGGCTGCGCGTTTCGCCCCGTTGGGATGAATTTCGCTCGTTATCTTTAAAGCAAGGTTTGAAACGTTTCACAGCGACGCTTCTTTCTTTTGTAAACGGAATATTTTGTAACCTGCAAGATAGATGCGTGGAAAACCAAAGAAAAAAATTTATGTTTCGTTTCACCTGTTCCAAAAAAAAAAAATAACGCTTGTTTTGCAAATCGTTGCGTGTACAAATAAATTTCTTTTTTTTTACGTTACAGTCGTGAAAATAGTCATATATAAAATGACGGAACGCAGAACATCTCGCAAACAAGGTCAGGTGGAACAGCAGCTTATTTTATTTTTTTTTTTTCCGTTTTGTATGCCGAATCAGTATTTGAGATACGTCCCACGTGTTACTTCGTTTTTACGAATCAATAAGAGAAACTTCTCGCTAGCTACTTGGTTCATTTGTCCGACGTCCGTGTCCCAAAACGTGTCGCGGTTAGAACGATCGGTCGGATTCGCGACGATAAAAGACGTTTCCCGTACATCGCCTTGGGATTCATTAAGTAAACGCAACTTTTCTACGTCCACGTGTACATGCAAACGGTTTTAGCTGAGAGCCGTTCTGTGGAAAAATGTAAATCTGGGTCGACGTTACTTTGAATAGAAAACTGACAGAGGAATGAAAACGTGCTGTGCGCACATACACACACACTCGAAATACACAAGCGCGGAAGTTATAGCGCGATATTTTTTTAAGGCCACCTTCAGAACCCGGTTGTTGTTCGCGACGCGGAGAAACGGGAGTTCTCCTTCCCTTTGTGTCACTTGCCCGAAAAATGTATATGACTCATGACACGAATGGACGTCGTCTTCTATCTGTATTAATTTTGTTCGCGAGAAAACGGTAGGACAGTCAATGTGGGACGGCTGGTAACTATCGGAGGACGTACAGAGCTAATGGTGTCACGATAGCTCATACGCAGCTCGGTATCTCGCGTTGTCGGATGAATCACGCGGGTGATCCTGGCGATAAATTGATGGCTTCCAAAGACGTGGCTAAACACGGCGGTGCTTCGAAACAGAAATTCATCAGGCAAATACGCCGCGGGAAGCGATTCCTCCTCCGCGCGATGGCAAATGCGGCAACCGTCGAGCATTAAGTGGATTGCTTATCACGCGACTCTGCTTATATCGCGAGATAATACGATCTTAATCCGCTGTTCGCGTTTCACGTAAAATGTCTCGTGTTATTAAACAAATTCACGCGGCGCTATCTCGACGATGTTTGACATGCAAATTAGGAAACGAGATTAGAAAATGTCCGCGTTAAAACGAAAGGTGTCAAATGCATCTTGGCAGACGGCAGAAATCCTTACGCAAAACCGTGAAACGAGAGGGCCAGCCGGCTGGCCGAGAGAACACCGGAAATTACGTAATTTCCTTACATTCTGCCAGGAGTTTGAACGCTTTACATGAGACACGTTTCTGTATATCGAATTTCTAATCGAATCAATAATTTACCAGATACACCGCCGTTAGACAAGAAACTGAACACGCGTCGAATCTGTAATCCGTTTAAAAAAAAAAAAAAAACTAAAAGAAATCAATGAAACGATGGAGTTATAAAACATTTCTCTTGTTCCGTCTATTCGTGATTCCGAGGTATCGTCCAGGGTTCTTTCTTTAACATACATAGATCAAGCTTTCCGACGTATCTCGTGTAATAAAAATTTGGTCTGACAGTGCCGGAAACAGGAGGATCGCCCGTCGCCTAACAGCGGAAAAATGAAAAGAGAAGAACGTGGAAACTATATCACGTTTGTATGTGCGTATGGATTCTCGGTGTTCCTCGGATGCCCGCCAGACTTTGGTTCGAAGAGATGCTACCGCACTAGTGGAATCACGTCCTGAGACCGAGGAAAGTGCAAATCCATGTTAGTGGTATAATGCTCCCGCTATAAATCGCAGAATTATGTGGACCGTGATAAGCATGCCGAAAACCGTGGAAACGCGATTACCTTTTGACAATTCGCTGGATTATTTCATCGCGTCCGTACGTTTCTACGGGCGGCGTTATTTTAGTAAATAGTTCGGATGCTTCGAGAGCTGAGTACACACGTCGTATCGACCATTGATAATGAAATACCGTGACAAATGTTCGAACGCTTTTGAGAATTCTCCCCGTTGTGCGAATCGGCACGGGCGCGTTAAGTTCTCACGATGCAATTCGTGACAGGTGCACGCTAAAGATATCCCCTTTAAACACAGGTTCAAAGTGAGGCGGTAATTTATTGATCCACGCGGCAATGTTCAATCCGCTTTCAGAGATTAAGCAAAGGTACGTGTAGCAAAAAGGTTAACATCGTTCCCCTTTGTCTACGGTTCTCCTGTTTTTGAATACTTTCCTGGTACGTCCGTGAACCTGGGAACGTCGAACGGGGGCCAGGAATCGGGCAACGATGAGGGATTTAACATCTGGCCGTCGCGCGGGCACACACGAGGTTCTTACGAGTTAAGACGATTCGCAAACGGACGTAAGTAAATTGTAAACAGCCTTTGACTATCGAGTGTAAGGAACGAAATTCTAACTTCGACTTCGCGATCCAACACTGGCTACCGGAAATGTGTGCTCGTCAATCTGGAAAATTGTACCGTTCCCGCTTGCATTTAATTCATTAACTATTTAAACCGCAACGCTGCTCCGCGTTCGACTAACGAGCACGATTTTCTTTTTACACCCGTGTTTATCTTCCGATTCCATCGGACAGACTCGCAACGCGAATTTTTAGTGTCACGTCTGCGGTAATGAAATTACTGTAGAGATAAGAGATAGATTGGAACGCGCAACCAAATTAATAGTGAGCTATTATGTACATACTATATATATATATAAATGGTGAATTGCGAAATGGTCGTCGATGATATTCGAAAATTTCATCGGAATTGCGGACGAGCGATCTAATACACCTTCCCGTTGATGAAAAATTGCCGGCGAACGTAAAGCAATAACCGCATTCTTTGTCGCTCGGATCGTTTAATAAAAGGCGCGTTAGGCCGCGCCGAAATGGCATCGATCGGGCGAATATTAGATTTTCAACGTGCGAGCGTTTACGGTAAAGACATTAACGGGCCGGGCGTGCTCCAGCGAGAGAGAGTGGCTTAATTAAACTTTAATTACTTCAATGCATCTGCGATCAAGCGTTCCTCTACTACGTATCGCGTCGCAAAGCGAACTTGTTGATCGCGGTCCGACTTCGAAAACAATCCCGCACCCTTTAAAAAACAGAGTGAGAAGCTTCTCTAAATGATTACCACGAAACGTGTAAGAGAAACGATCTAAAATTCCTGTTAGAAAATCATTTTTCTCGAATTTCGAAGAATTGGGTATCGCGCTCGTAAAATATTGTAAATAATTCGAATACGAAGTAATAACGGCGACCTCAGCCAGAAGACTGGACAACTGGAAGAGAATGGAGTTGATAAGTGAGAGATCTGCGCTCGGCATTGATCCGATCTTGAAGACCCGTCCAAAGTGACGGGAACAACGGATTCCGCGGAACGTTTTAAATTTATAACGCGCAACTTAAGTCCGACGCTGCGCGGAGGTTCGTTTCATACATTACGAGTCTCGTGCTGTACGTTCGGCGCCGGGGATTATCGCTGTGATGAATGGAGGATAAAAATGAAAGAGCAGAAAGTGGATAGGCGCGGTGTATCGCATTGTTCGTGTGCGATTCTTATGCATTTTTTGCAAAACTTCCTTCTCCCGTTTCAATAACGAACCGCGACGTGAAAGATATTGCAGTCTTGACGCGAGGATGCAAAATAGAGAATAGATGAAGAGACAAAGCGTCGCGGTAATTGCTTTCCGTATTGTAATAAACGTGTATATGGATGGGCGCCTGTTTCAAATCCATTTACTCTCCCCAAATAGACGCGACGTTCCATTCTTCGCGAGTGAATAATTGTTTGCCGAAGAAAAAACTAGGCGCAGCGTAAATGGACATTTACTTTACAAGGTCGCCGAGTGGAGAGCCGAACGAAACGAAACTGGAAACGTAAAATCAGCGCGGGTCAGATACGGTGTCTCGTATGCGTGCACGGCGACGCGTTGCGCAATTCTCGATCGTGACGAAATTCAACTGCCGTGCGTTGGTGACTGGCGAAAAAGGTTAATGATCCGAGGAACACGCGTATCCGAAACGATCGGTACCAAACCGAGTCAGAGAGAGAGTAGCCGAAAATCATTGGCGAAGAGAAGATTGAATTCGAGCGATCGTGATATCCCGTCTGATTCGATCAACGTTATTGATAACGACGTGCAACCGATAGTGAAGCGATAATTTGAACAATTCGTGCTTTTCTTCCATTAATGGGAATTGACGATCAATCGAAAAAAGAAAAACGTCGAGACTAAACCATAAGGGTAACGATGCTCATCGAGATCGGCCGGCGTTGATAAGAAAGTCGGTGTTCATTTTTTGAATCGCGGCCATTTCCGGTGGATGAATGAGATTATTAAAGCAACGGTTTTTTTTTTCAAGAGAGTGCGTAGGAGGAGGGTTAAGAACCGACGTGCAAAACAGGTCTAATGTAATCAACTTACGGTTACTTACTTCCTCGGTGAGTCGCGGTGAGAGGGAACTCGCGCCAAGGCCGGCCGATCGTCTTCGCGTCGTCGTTTCCATTAACTCACCTCATTCCTCGATTTTTCCAAACGCGAGGTCGGGAAAGCCGCGAATCGATTGTGAAACGGCACCGAATGAATGGAGAAGTTTATTAACGCCGATGTGTTCAGTGATCCGCGAGGTTCGCTCCTTTAATTCTAATTATGAGCAAAGTTTGGATAAATGGCCAGCAATTTCCAACGCGAATAGAATTCTCGTTACACGTTTTACTTACGAGCGACTTGAGAAAAACGTCGAACGTAAATTTCAACTACACCCTATAACCAAATGTAACCATAACTTTCAATAAGATCTAGTGAAACCGACGTTGAACGATGAGATTAATAAGTACACGTATTCGCTCGATCTAATTAACTAACTCCTGTGAGAAGATCCTTTAATGGATACGGAACAGAGTTAGTTAAGAAGCGCTGCGCGACAGTTAAAAATTATTCAGCACAGCTTCAGTTAATTTCTCTCGGAAGTCGAGGAACGTTGATGAAAATTATTAAGGAAGGCGGACGCAGCTATAATAAATAATTATCATCGCGAATCGTGATATAACGCCGTGACCACGACATTATCATACGAGAATGTATAATGCGTATACACACACACACACGTTCAACGGTACGCATTTCATTTGCCAATGAAATGCATTCGCTTGCTCTCTTCTTCACAGGGTTGTACGTAAAACGTTTAAGAATGGAATCTCACGATGGCATCGTGGCATTGCTTACCTTCGATATATCTCCTGCAATTACGCGTACTTAATACGAGCCGACTTGTAAGAGAGAAAGCAAGAAATTCCAATTTTCATCGTACGGCTCTGCACTTTCGCTGTCGACAAGTTTTTTCTCCATCCGATGTCACTTTTCCTTGCCCCCGGGCGAATCTTAAGTAGTTTTCTTCGTCAAGTTTCATTCGATCCTTATAAGAGATTCATGAATAACATTCTTCTTCAGTCTGTTTCTAAGATTCTTTAAGTCAGTCGAGTTTCGATCGGTTCTTGCAGAGGAGATAACAGCTACTCGCTTCTTGTGTCAGTGGCTAGAAAACGGTTCTTTCGGAGGATGTTGGAGATTACGCGGAACACACCGTTTCTACTGCGCTTGCAAGTAAATTATAATTCCGCGGGAGACGTTCATTAACGTCGTTATTGAATACACGTCGCTGAGCATCCGTCTCTATATATGCCAAGTGACTTAAACAAAAAATTCCATCATTCCCTTTGGAGGAGATAACTGAGAGGAGACATTCGATGCTCCAAAGATCGCGACCTCCAACGTAATACTTGAATTTATGGGTTACGCGTCCCGCGAGACGAACCCGCTGACACGGTTCCCCCTTAAAGCATCGACTTTATGAATTATTTTAGATACCAGAGTGTTTCAGGCAAAAGGACACTTTCACCTTCGTTCGATCTTCAATTTATGGTTTCATCGTACGTCCCGCGAAAAATTTCCGATTAACGCGTGTTCTTTATATTTCCTATACGTCGAATTATCTTTAGACTCGTCGGCCACGCGATTCCTCAGGAAGCTCTTCACTCATTTTTCTTTCGTATCCGCAGCCAAGGGACGCTTGTGAAATTGGGTGCCCGCAGAAAATTGTGGTTCGCCACTTTTGTAATCCACGGGTTTTTACGGGAACTGGGTTAGGAGAATTCGCTGCTAACTGGGTCGACGTAATTACTCAAATTGCCGTTAAATCCTGCACTTCTGTCCACGAAACACAATCACGAACGATACTGTCGCCGACTGTTTTACTTCACGCATTCTTATTCTTCCTGCGTCAATAGTGTCATTGTTTCTCTTTAAATCTGAGATTTGTCTGAAACTATTTCGAGCGAAAGCGAAAAGAACGTTTCTATTTAAGGATGTATTGGCTGTACAATCAATCCCAAAAGTTTATGCACTTTAGAAACGCATTTTTTAAAAAGATATCGGACGTCGGAAGAACATTGCTAATAATAAACAACAAAAAAAAATTTTCGATTTTTCCGAGATTTTTCCAAGGGGTACCCCTCCAATTTCTTCCAAATTTTCGTTTTTGGCCAATAACTCCCAAACCGTTAGACTTACGGGAAAATTGCATCAGGCCTTTCTTGTAGAGGACGACGAGATCTACAATTTCCATGTAAAAATTATTTCCTAGTGCTAATAGTTAACGAGTAAATTGCAAAAAACTGTTTTTTCGTTTTTCGTCCATAACTCTTTAAATATTAATGCNTTATAGGAAATGCGTTTTTCTAAGGTACATAAACTTTTGGGATTGACTCACTTGTCAAAAAGTGTACTAGCAATTGACTTCAATATTAAGCATGACAAACTCGCACTACCAACAACATGGCGGCTTAATTGAATGTGCATGACTCTACTTACACTTAAAAATATTTATAATTAAAGCAGTACGAATCTCGTAGCTGAAACATATTTCCTTTAACGAGGAAAAAGTTTTTGCAATAAACAATTTTAGTTGTTTATTAATTATTGACGCTAGCGAGAAAAGTTTTATATGGAAGTTGTAGACACTGACGGCCTCTACAAGAATCAATCAAAAAAGGGAATGTTTCTTCTGATGCTCCCACAGAAGGGGACCCTAAGGTCGGGTGTTGCCATAATCGGCGAATTCCGTGTACTTAGTAGAGCACGGAGGAAACGAGCCGTGTAAATTCATCCTCGGCCGACCTTTTCCACAGTTCCCACAAATGCAAATGAATACGGGCGCGCGAACGAAGCTAAATCGAAGGCGAGCCGCTCTTTCGAGCGCCGCAGGAAAAAACCTCGAAGATCCAAGGATACCGTTCATCGTTTCGATTCGAGTTACTCCTATACCTAGAGAGCCTGTCTCCTCTTTCATTAATCTATCAGTTTGTTTATGTAACGTCCCATAAAATAACGACCATAGAATTTATTATAACGTTTCGTTCGAGATGGCCACTAATTTCGGATCATCTGTCAGACTCGGAAGTGTCCTGAAACTCGTGAACGTACGTGCGTGCAGGAGTCAGGCGTGCCTCGTTGCATAAAAAGCGTTTTAAGTATGCATAGACTCAGCCGCACGTAACGATAACACGACGAAGCCGTGAAGTAATGGGAAAGATTATTTATGGATTGCGATATCTTCATACATCTCGCCAGCTTGAATTACGACGATCTCGGAAAGTTTCCCGTGGACAGCCGCCTTCCTGACACAGATCTCTCGCGAATAGAAGATCCGTGAATTTTAATTGTGTTCATAAATTACGAAAAAAATTGCCGATCGGCTTTCCAGTATTCCGCCGGAACGGACGGAGGGAGCCCTCCTACTACCCCCGTTTTATCTTGGATGACAAATTGCCCGGTAGATTAACCCGGGCGTAAAGAACCGCAATTAAAAAAGCTGCCAGCAGCGTTTCCGAACAGAATTTAAATCCGGATCCTGTTCATTTTTTCCTATTTCACCAGATGCCCGCGACCGAACAAAACAGATACCCGAAACCGCGCGATGAATAGTAATCGAATGTCCATTGCCAGTTTTAACGCATTCTCGCGTCCGTCTATAGCCGCTCTGTATTTCAATCTAAAAAAAAAGTGTGCGAGAACGTGTTAAAGGATCCATGGAAGAAAATTGTTAAGACGGGACGCGTTGCATCGTCTCCGGCGCGTGCAATTTAGACGAAACAGAGTGGAAAATGTTGAGCAGGTCGCGTTAGGCGTTGCAAACACTGCTCGTTCTTATGTAACGGAGTCTCTTCCCCTTTGTCGAGACGGTGTGAAAGGACGGACGTGAGAACGAGGCTCCAAATTTGCAAATTTATAAAGTATAATTTGCAGGAAAAGTGTCTGCGCCGTTTCACAATCGTTTCTATAGTCGAAACCGAACTTCTCATTTCTGCTCAACAAGTGTTCCTCGACAGAGATAAAAATTCTAATCTAGAAAAAATGATTTCTGTCTAATTGCTTAGAAGTTCAAGGCTGAATCCATTTAATTAATCGATCATGTTCAAGTACAAAGTTGAACAGGATTTCCAAAGACCGCTGCGTCGCGAGGAACGTCGTGGAGGATCTATCTACCCGGTGGCCACCGTTGATATTTAATACTTTCACTCGAACTCCTTGACCCGCGCACAATTGCACGCGGATTCGTGTGCAACCAACCTTACGTACACCTTACGCACAGCTTTGCCATTGCATGCACGAGTTGCGTACAGGAAACGTGGTTACCAATTCATACGAGCTGCTTCCAGGTCTCCGAATTAGATTTTTTTTTTTATGAGCAGTTCAAAGGTCGAGCGAAATCTCATGTATGAATCTTTACCCGCGACCTCGTCAACGTTCGTACGTTTCACTTTCTTTATTTAGAAGAGAATATTTGACTCATTCAACTGTTTGCTTCATCGCTGCGTGTCGTACTATCGAGGCGACAAATTGAATGATGAAACCGATCGAGAAGATACACAAATTATACGAGAATGGAGCATTGTATCTGATTCCACAAATGATTATTTTATAGCGTACGGTGGAAAGAATGCGTGTCGCAATTTGATGCGCATCGGAGATGATTGATACCGCGTTCGCTCACATTAGTTTGCGCAACGAACTTTGAAACGAGGAATCTGGAGAAACGATCATCGACGTTACAGCCGCGATTTTCGAGATAAGGGATAGATGGTTGATTCTGCAGATGCGTACACGAGTCGATTCTGTACGAGTTATGCGATAGTTACACCGACCGAATGAATTCCGTCGTCGTTCCAAAAAACGTTTCCTATGTGAACGCAGGTAGACCGTTACGGTAACAATGAAATATGATCTCTCTTTCTTCTCATTTTCCACTGTCTTAATTCTGTTCAAAGGTGTTCACCGACGGAACGAAGCTCGTGACCGAAGGCTGCTACGAATCAAGGTTATCCTACCGTACCGTGCAATTTCACCGATAATAGGACAATTCCGACTGCACCAATGGCTTTTTACCGCGTTTCTTGGACACCATTGTCGGCACACTTGTTTTATGGAACAAAACTAACGTTTGCATCGTAAATCCCGGGTCTCGCCTCTGTCACCTTTGAATAAAAGATGAAATATACTTTTCTTCGGGCACTGGCGAGCTGTATACTTTAATTAAATGCAATTCGGATCAACGAGACACGGAAATTTCACCGGTTACAGTAAATTACGGTGCCTCGAAGGAGATCGTAACGACAGGAAATTGTGGTAAACGTCCAGAGGCCGCGTTACAGTTTTGTTTACGAATGGATCGCGACCGACCAGGAAATGACCAACAATTCCCATGGAAAATATTAGCAAATGGCCTAGTGTTCCATGAATACGTTAGCTCTTCTTCCAGTTGATTGCTTCCAACGAGAGGTTGCCGACTTTTCAAAGAAACGCGGTGTTATTGCCCGCGAAGTGGAGCGGCGGAGCATTTAAGGATTTGATCAGTTCGAGGAGAAATAGAATGACTAACTTCGTTGTCCAAATCAGAAGACACATGCAGTTCGATAAAAAAATATTAAAGGACAGAACAGATGGAAAGAGTTTAATTATACAGAATTGTGGGAACGTCGCTGCAGACGTGGGAGACTTGGAATCCCAAACTTGAAAGTTAATGTTATCTCATAAACCACCTGAGTTACTGTTTGATTGCTGCGTGTCTCTCTTATGACTTGACAGTCGCTTACCATCCAACAAGAACTCTGAGAGATCGAAGTGGCTGAACTGTCAATTGCCTGAGCTTCACGAAATGAGACCCGTAACATCGGCTATTAAAACTTTCGACTCTAACTTAATCTAGGATACTTAAAATCTTCCGAACTAGAATAATAAAGCTTGAGCTTTAAGCTCGAATATCATGTGACACGATTTTATTATAAAGACTACAATAAAACGATTTGTATGAATTGACCCTGCGCGATCGAAGTGACTCCTGTCAGAGAAAGTCTCTCATTTACGGCCTTTCCAATGCCTCGACCACTTTCCCATTATGTATCGCGAATACAGAATGCGTAACATCAGCGAGATCTCAACCCTTCCTCTCTTACCTTCGCGATATGACATAAACGTACTTACACGAAGTATTATTATTTTTTACGTGTCTGTGAACGTATCGATGATGTGAATGTGATTTGACGAAATCATCCTAGAGGTGTTACGCAATGAAAGGTCCAGCTCGTATAGTGGCAGAAACTTTCATCGATTAAAAGAAAGCGAGACGTTTGATCTCTCTCGTCTCTCGAATCCTGCTGAAAGATTACGCGCTCCGATTGAACGTCACGGCTGGAGAAGCGTGCCATTCTTGTTTAGATTTTCTCGGCAACGCGATGCCGAATTGGAAAATCAATTAAACTCAAGAATGCTTGTCCTGCTTGAAACGATTTTCTCTCGTTTAAATCGTCGGCCGAGATCATTAACTTCGGTTAATAAGCAGCTAAGCGCAAGTGAAACATCGTAGTAATTACTAGTGGCTTCGTTTTACTCTCGCACACTTGAAAAGCTATGGGACATGGGAAAAGCGTTATGTGGGTACCGGTAGAAAATGGACGAAGCCCATTTTACCATATCTTCCTTGAACAGAGACGACCCTACTTGGTGTCTTCAATTACGCGATACGCGCAACGTTCTTTCCGCAATACTGATTTCACTTTCAACGCACCCGGTTCGTCACTAATTCGATCAGCCTCGTCCTGTTCCATCAGAGTGAAATAAAAAAAAAAAAAGAGTAACGTCGAAAGGAGTTGCGAAGGTATCGACAGGATAATTACTGAGCGAGATGATTATCGCGGCTATCATCAACGCGTACCGATCGGCGGAGATAAACCGCGTGACGAGCAAGATCTACGTGCGTGAATAATAATCATTTCTAATTAACCGGCCGGTCTTTTCTCTCGGCTAGCGAGAAGGCGGTTTCTAGGTTGTACCTCTTGGTTTCTGCTGGGATACCACCGGCCCGCATACCAGTCCACCCATGAAAGAATGGAGAGCAAAGCCCGATACGCCACGAAATCCTGCGATTCAACGAGCTATCCCATTATACAGAAGCTTTCTATTACGGTGGCTAAACGATTTTCGGCTGCACCTCTTCCACCCAGAAAATGAACACTCAATTCCCGCGGAATTCTTTTGTTACGGATCGTGACTAAATTATGGACGATCATGGAAAGTCGTACGGTTACGAATGACTTCACTTTCTTTGGCGTTAAACACTTCGGCAGCGTTAGCGATCGGCGTTAGACGGTTCCGTAATAAACTTGTTTCCTAAACTCCGGCAACGACCGCGGTTACCGAGTTCTCGTAATTGTTCCGTAATTATTACTCGCAATGTAGGCGAGATTAAAATTAATCACAGGTTACGCGAGAGCGCGTCTCGCGACGTGGAAGAGAGATCCATTGCGGGCGGCACGTGCAACCTATTATCTCGCGTCGCGTACCACTCTCTCAGGACACCCTAAACCGATGTAGCCATTGTTCGCAAAAGACAATGTCCAACGCGTGTAATCGTTGCGTATCGCGTCATGCTGCGACTTTCTTTTCAGTTCGTAGTCTCTTCCTCATCGCGACAATCATTTCATTCTTAAAATCGTCAGTTGATACACTTCCAAGTTTTTTGTTCTCCATTTGCATACAAAGGTTTCCGTAACTCGTGCGTGTGACCCTTTTCGTGGAAAAATTCGATCGCTTATTGTGGGCCTTTGAAAAGAATTTTAACTTGTACGGTCGATGAGCGATATCAGTCGGGATTAAAATTCCTAACGCGTGAACAGCACGCGGAACATGGGCCGCGGACGTCCCATGAAAGTCTTCGCATGGTTACCTGCAGAAGCCCTAGTTATTATACCTTGCGAGTGATTGTTCGCGTCTCTTTCACTGAATTTCGTTGCCTGAGACCTTTTTGTAAACATCTCGAATGGAAAATAAAGGAAATTGCACATGTGTGCATCTCGAACCGAGATCTTTGGACTCGTCGTCACGCTCATTTCGAGAAACCTGCCCCACCCATATTTACAACGTTACATTGTAGTTTTTATTAAAGTATGGGAGAGCTTGAGGAATGCTGCTAACTGAAACTGAAACGGGACAACGGTTCCGATTTCGCTTAACTCAGCATCCGGGCCAGTTCGCGGCCTCGACTTCGCTGCCTAGAACGCGACTAGACACAGGATGCCTACATTTTATTTTCACGAACATCTGTCCGAAATCGAGTTCGTTTATCTGTAAGTTTTATCGGTTCGCTCCTCGTATCCAAGGATATCTGATGATCGGCCGCGATTAGCCGATGACCAGGACAATCAAGGATACGACCGGGGGAGACAAAGGAAAGGGAACACTCACGGTGATGAATCGCATACTTGCTCCTTCCCCCTGTTGGATGATCCGCGTAAAGGAGAGGACGAAAACACCGAGGGGTGGACGAAAGAGGGAACGCGTCGGGTTCGAAGGAGCAAGCCGAGCAGAAGGAGCGAGGGGTCGAGAGAGAAAGAGAGGCCGAGGTGAAGCAAGGCGAGTCGGTGATCGTAGTCGTAGTGGGATCGACAAAGCTACTTGGATCCACGACGGCCACTTTCGACGGCAGTAACCACGAAGACGCCATGACGACACAATCACCCACATCGTCCTCGACTCGGATCTCCGCTACCATCGGTCTAGTCGCCACGGTTTATCTTCTTCTGGCTACACGTGAGTTTAACCCCGGCTACGGTTTCATCCCCCGTGAACACCGCAGCTTTTTCACCCTCGATCAACCACGACACGTTTCCTGTATAATATCGTCGGAATAAACGTCGGTATGCTATGCCGAGGAACGTTAACAAAACGTGGACATTCTTTACCGATACGTTCTAAAAATAATGTACAGGATTGAATTCACGTTCTCTATTAGATTCAAATAGAGTGGACGTTTTTACTAAACGGGTCGAACGTTTCTCTTATGGAGGTCTGAGCTAACAGTGATCGCGTCGAGTGTTAAGAAAATTTTCTTTACCGAACAACGACAGAATCCTGAATCGTTTCGGTTGATGCGTTATTACCCAAGTTTGCAGCGCGAATTATTCCCGGAGGAAGCGTATTTACGAAGGACGCGCCGCGCCTGTGCTGCTTAACAAACAGTTTCCCCGACCCGCGGCGCGGGGTGGGCTTCAACGGGAAATCACGACGTCAAAATCTGCGACGCATTCCCGAAGTCAGTAGAACCGTACACAACCAGTACACGACTTACTACGACTGAATTGCCATTCGAGCGAATCGCATCGCGAGAACGTCTCCGACGCAGGCTGATTGCAGCAGGAACAAAGCGTGCGTGTGCAACGCTTCTGAATTAGAAACTGCATTGCATTTGAATGAAAAACGAGGCGAATGTAGATCAAATATCAATTATCACGAGGATCGGTTAGAGTCAGGAGTGCTGAACGATCTTTGCAACAGCGTTCTGTGCAAATCAGTCTCACATCACCGCGAATAATGGTCCACGACTGTGTAAAAACTAATTAACAATGTTAATATACGGATTTTACAGGGCTGGTTTCTCGATTTGCCGGTCTGTTTCGCGTTAGCCTGCGTGACTTTCGCGTTCCACGCTTTTCCTCCGACCAGAAAGAGATTCGACGAATGAAAAAAAAAAGAAAAAAGAGAAAAGGAAAAATCGCGCGTGCGGTTCTTAACGAACGCCGCGAAGTACCGGTTTTTAGGCGGAAAACACGTTCGCGCTGAAGGATATCAGAATTTAGTTCACCTCGTTTCCACCTTGCTTCTCTTTCGCCGGTTTCGTGCCGCGCTCGATTTATCGGATTTTAGTACCGCGAGATCTATTTTCGTTGTGAAAGAGTTTTCTAACGTTTCCGTGTTTCACGGTTGTGTAACGAACGGGAATAGGTTTCCAGATTCCGTCCGCAGATATCCTGTCCATGTGCCCACTCGTTTATGGACTTAATCTATACGTACGCAGACAACAAGTTTATTTACTCTTTGAGATAAGGAGACTGAATAACATTATCAACACCTGGCGAGTCGATTTCATTTAAAATAAAGACTTCGAATCATGCAGGATCTCGCAAGATGAAATCTAAGGGGGATCGATAGAACTTCGTCATTTTAAATCGGCAAACAAGAGTCACTTTAATTGGTAGCCCGTGCAAACAGCGAAACGCGTTATTCACAAGAGACACTTGAGGGCTGATGTAGTAGAGATTTCTCTCGGATCCAAAATTCTAATTGCTCGAGCCACTCCCATTTCGAAAGCGTTGCGAACTTTCATCCTGGTACGACTGGTTGGAAATGTTTCACTCGAGCGGAGGAAAATAAGAAAATTCCCGAGGAATATCCAGGGGTTTATTACGTTCCCTGCGAATATCGCCTCCCGAAGCGAAAAACCGAGATTTATCGGAGACAGGCGGCGTGATAGGATTACGATAGGAGAAATACAAAACTTGATATTCCAATTGAAAACGTCGCGACGCGTGAACGAGGGGAAGATGTCTCTATTGGACGGGGTCTCGCATCAGAGTTCGTTTCGTTTCCAAATCAGCTCGTCGCCTGGCTGTATTGCCGCGAATCCACCGGAATCTACCGGCGCAGCGGCGTGGCGCGGTGCTGCGTTGCGACACTGGCTGCGAGACCTGTGTTATGCAGAGGCAGGCAATTACGCTGTCCGCCTTCTGCTTTCTCTTTCGTATGAAAATGTCAAAGGTCCGATATGTATCTCTGACTTGTTCCCCACTTATTTCCTCTCATCTCGAGCGAAACCTCGTTAACCTGAATCCGCGTCCATCAAATCTACTCGAGTCTGTTTACACCGACTCCGTTTCGCATACCGATTAGCCGGAGACGGCACCTTCGACGTTTTCTCATCGCTCCTACGTCCCTTAACTATATTTAGCTTCCGGTCGCGGTTCCCGGTTTTTTTTCATTGGTCCACGGTGATAATTATTTAATCACGTCTCGGGCCACCGTCACCGCGGCAATAATTACGCACTAATGGCTCCCTCGGTTGGAACGACGTAATGCATCCACTCGAAGCTCGAAACCGACGCCGCTTTGACGCCTCGGCTTCTCATTAGTGATTGATACCAAAGTCTCCTGCTACGTGACTACGCCCCAGATTCACGAAACGACGCAATTTCATTTCCTTTCCAGCCGAGAAATATAAAATTCATATTTGCAGATACATTTTCTCAGTGTCGATGCGCCTCGCTGCAAATGTAAAATGCACATAATGAGGGAAAAACGGTGAAAACGGTCGGGGCTATCGATCAAGTTGATTAGAGAGCGTTCTCCAAAGAGGATCGGTCCCAGAGTGTAATTCTCGTTACGCGTGTTTACGCAGGCTACTCGCTCGATCAATGACAAGACTCCCGCCTGAGTATTACATGCTCGCGACTTAACGACCGAGCGTACTTATTCGCGCGTTGATGGAAAGCGAATTTCCACTCACCGCGGAAACGAACATGTTATGTTACTTATATAATTTCGTAAGTAAGCAATCGATTCTACGGAGCATAGAATTTTTCTCTAGATTCGTTGTGTAGTCACGTGCCAGGAGATACGCAGATGGCAGTAAATTTTGACGAGCCCGACGCGAATCGCGGCCAACGTATTTTTGTCCAATTATCAAATGCCATTGCAACAAAATGGTACGACCTAGTCGCTCCTCGATCCCCATACATTAGGCAGCAGCAGGAGTTAACGGCACCACGAAACGTCGGACACGAATCATTCCCCGAGACGTATCTAATTTTCCTCCGGATCGATTTTTTCCCGCGGTGTTTTCGATTCCAGGGAAGCGACGGAGCGTTTACGAGCGAGCGATCCAGGATTTATGCCCTCGCTATGCGTCAATCTCGCCGGGATGGACGATATCCTGTCCGAGGTCCACGAGACCCGGTAACGGTACGCGCTCGATCAAAGGGTTAGACGAGAGAGACTGATCTCGTCGACCGGTTCCACCGATTCGTTAGCATCTAACGAACGATCCCAGGATTAGCCTTGACGTTCTCGGCTCCCGCATATTTATGCGAGCGCCAACCCAATCTCCTCCCGCCTTTTCGTACCGCGCTTGTTTACAAGTCTCTCGGCTGTTCACAGTTAATCGGAATAGATGATAGATACAAGAGAGCCGTGTCCTATCCATCAACCCCGGCTACAGAAAGGAATGCATCCGTCGTCGGAATCATCGATCTCCTAACGTCGCGAATATTCAACACTGGACATTTACGATTTAGTCGAAAGCGGCTTCTCGCCGTAGTTCTTATTTGGTGACGAGCATACACCTTCGAAGCCACGGATTTGGATGACTAACATTCCACGATTTCGCGATGTAGCAAACGTGCCTGACCACCCAACAGGCATCCGTGGAACTCGGTCTCGCGTGCTCGCACGATTCGTGAACGATCTGTTAGGTCGCTCGACCTACGCCAGAATCGATACTCGGACACCGTGTCGAACTTACCGTTAACCATCCGATCCACCGGCGAACCCGCTGCGAACGGAATTCTTACGCGGATTAGAGCGCGAATCCTTGATTATTCATGCATGCGACCGGTTCTGGGACCGCCACCTCCCAGAAACGGTTTAATTATTCCGCAGGAACGGCGGACTACTTCGCTACGGGACGTTCAAAAATATTTACTGGCCTGTCCGACGGTTAATCCACGCTAATTAATTAAACTCGATTGTGCTTACAGAGGTATGCAGCGCAGCTTATTACGGCAAGCTTATTGGGAAGCTGTCAGAACTTCATCACGGCGTCAGCGGTGAAGTTTACGCGGTGGACGGGCGAACTCTGTTCATCAAGGACTTCACGTACGACGGCGAAGCACCAAGTTCGTAGACCAAGAAGCACGCAGAAACCGAACTTTCTCAGGCACCCCCGTCGATCTACCGGCTCGGTTTTTGTCGACAAAAAAATGGGCCATCGCGTTGGCAGAGATTAAATTGTCTCGCGTTTCAATTCGAACTAAACACAGATGAAAGATATCGGCAACGAATCTATTTTCCTGGATACAGAATGAACCGATACCATATACAAACTGATTCTACTGGATACGCTATCTGAAACCATTCATTATTCACTGATGTTATCGAAATTCAGAAGCATATTTTATCGAAATCGATAATTATTTCAAACAACGGTTCCGGTACGCAAATTATTGAACAAATGATCCATAACGAGAAAATGTTAAATGCTCCTTCGTTTCTTGATTATACTTTTACTTTCGCGAACAAAATTGAAAGCCTTTATGGTACGAAGGTCGCTCAAGTATATGCAACGAGCCAGAAAATTAGCGAGATGTACGCGTCGTTCTTAATTGCGGTCTGTCGGACGATCGACCGAGTGCCAGATATTAAATAGTTAGCCGCGACTGGCCGCAATCAGCGAGAGGGCTGCAATCATAATTATCCTTCTTTCAGCTGCGTACTTTTACGTCGGCACTTCGAAGACCCCCAATGGCAACGGGATCAGGCTTCGCGACGAACGCGGATCGTGAGTGTCTCTTTTTAATAATAAGCATAACGTTTCTCTTATCGTAGAAAAGTTGAAACACAACTTTTTCGACAGAGCCGACACGCTGAAGCGATATCCAAAAAAAGACATTACGCTGACGTTGCCCGACGGCAAAACGCTTTCTAATGTCAAATGGTTCGCAGTCTGGTGCGACGAATACTCGGTGAGTATCAGATTCGAACACTTATATTATCGTACTTCTAAAACTCATGAACGAAGTACGGTGCTCGTGACCTTCGCTCTGGTTACACGGGGCGGAGAGACGGAAAACCGGTATCGTTTCCTCGCCGCGCAACTTTCACGCTCGCGGATAGAAAGTAATTGACTGGCTCCGAGCCATACAAAAACGAAAACACTGCCTTTTGCGAGTAGCCTAATTCCACTATTGAAATCGGAAGCATCGCAGCGGGTGGGCACGGTTATCCGCGACACTCGCAGCTCGCCGATTTACGTCCTTGATATTGCGAACGCGACGAAAATTTATTCAGAGATCGCCGGTGTCCGACACGCGGCCGCCGCCAGATATAGAACCGCGTACGCGTGTAACACCCGTGGGATGATAAAGCTGATCGCGTCGGAACGAGGGCGAAACGCTCGAATTTCCATTACACCGACGGGAAAACGATAAAATGGAATCTGTTTGCGGGCATGATTTCCGAAGCTTATGAATCCCGTGCAACTGATATGCTACTCGGGATTAACGTATGCTCGCGTAGTAGTTCATGAATAATTTTCGTCCAGCTATATATAACTTGGCTTCATTAGAGCACGCTCGGTGCATAATTTTCGTCTCATTAGAATTTCCGTACTTGGAATCACAATAATTTCTTTCGGAATTTCAGGTGAACTTCGGGGACGTCAGAATACCGCGAGGGTTCGATTTCCCGAAGCCACAAAAATTGGCAGCACTCAGCGGAGTGCACGGAGTCAGCTCGGAACCGATCGTCGCCGTAGACGCGCAAACTCTTCTGATACCTAACTTCAGCTACGATGGCGAAGCACCCGGTGAGTCAAACAGCAGCGGTGAAACTCAGACTGCGAATTTTATGCATTCATAGAAAAACTGAACGTGCAGAAAATAGAAAGAACGCGTGTAACGCGTAACAGTGTATGCGTGTCGCTTTGCCTGAAACGAATATCTGTTTGAATCACATTTTCTAAATTGATATTTCAATCGAGTAAAAACTGTTGCAGACGCGAAATTCTGGGTGGGAGCCGGGCCGTCGCCCTCGCCCCAGGGAATCCGCGTTCCGGACGAGAACGGAAGAGTGCAACCGTTGCGTAGATACGATCGCAAGACGATCGTACTCACGTTACCCGGCGATTTAACCATCCACCAGATTGGCCACTTCGGCGTCTGGTGCGAGGCATTCACCGTCGACTTCGGCCACGTGCAAATTCCGCAGAGTCTCAACGTGCCACCCTCCCTGAAGATGCTCGGAGTCTCGCCGCAGGTAAGCTGGAAAGGCTTCTTGTAGTCTCGACTGCAAGAAGAGACACGGCCTTTGCCAAACGACCTCTAAACGCTTCCCAGGGATCGGCTTGCGAGTTAATTAGAACGGTACGCAGACATGTAAGACTAGCGTTCGATTCGATAGTTGAACACGTTTGTCCAAACGTTTGAGAACTAACTGGCCGGAGGAGAACAGTCGGATTCGGCTTTCATATTTCGTCGACGGATCGCGACACGATTTGCGAACAATCGGCGTTTCTCCGAAGTAATCAGTAACACTCGTTGCGCCGTTTTCCGCGGCTTTAAATCGTTTATTCGCTGGGCAACGAATATTCGCGAGGACGCGCTCGAACGTGGAGGACCGAACGACCCTTTCCACGGGTAACAATCGATACGCGCTCTGTATTGTTTCCACGGCGAATTTGTCTCCGTCAATATTTGAGTGGATATCTGGCTGTCAGCGGAAGTCGCCCCGTTTCACCGATTTACGGATTTTCCAAGCGAACATCCTTTGTCCCGCGCTAACAACTCGAGCTTCCTCCCCTTTTTTTCCTCTTCGCATCGTCGTACAGAATATTTCTGGTGTTTCGATGATTCGTTAAAATCCTTGGTCATTGACCAAAATACCCGAAGAATCGTTGAGACGCCAAGATATCCGTAGCTCGAAACGTTTCTTTTTCATAACATCCTGTCTCTGTCCTTGTGTTGCAGAACGTGCACCGCGGAGGGCAGGGACAGATTCTCGGTCTGGTAAATCTGTACGAGCTGTCCACTTCTTCGCCGGCTTCTTCTCCTTCTTCTTCTTCCTCCTCTTCCTCGTTCGCGTTGCTGACGCAGCAGCAATACCAACGTCCGACGACCTACCGGCCGGTCCTCCGTCGCGAGGATCAGGCCCAAGTCGACTATCGAATACCAAAGAGCCTACAGAGCCAGGAGCCACTCGCGCAGCAGCTTCGTCGTGTTCAACAAGCTTCTTATCCCTCGACCGCCCAATACGGCGACGACGTAGCGTATCAGGGACAGTTCGGTTCGTCGAACGGCGAGCCGCAAGCGAACTCGTACGCGAGGCAGCTGCGGTTCCAGGGCGACAGGAGACTAGATTCTTTCGTTCGTTATTGATACAAACGATAGGCAATTCCCTTAAAATAACAAGGCGACGTCTGCTACTCTCGGACAGGTCGAGGATGCCTTCTGCGGATTTGAAATTCTGGGATGATCGTTTCTCTTTAAAATGAATGCTTGCCGTCCTAAAACTTATTCGCATCCTGTTCTCTTGGGCCTATCCGGCAGCACATTTCACTCGATCTTATCACTGTTTATCTCCAATGTTCTTACGAATATTCGCGAACGGTTCGAACTCATCGCGATTTCGACTGTATTGTCTCTTTAAAGATTAGTCGAACTCCGCAATAGAAATCCCCGAACTGTCTTCTCGCTTCCTTTAGCATGTTAGTCATTTACTAGGAACACGGATTCAGCCCGCGTCGCGAAATCGTTGGCTAAAAGAACAACGATTTATCGCGGGCCACGTTGTAAATCAAGCTTGAGTTCTCCTTCGCCGGAACTCGGTCAAACTCGCGTTTTCGATAAATTAGCGGAAGTTCCGGCCGCCGCCGTTTGCCCGATGTAATCATTCGTTCCGCCGTAGGAAAACTCAGGTGGCACAGCTGCGATGATATTAGCCGGGAGGGATAGTAAAGTTTCCACGGTCGCGTGCGGCCACTTTAGAAAGTTCACGGCTAGCGGGAGGAAGAGACTCTCGTTTTATTTATTTAACAACGGCTATCCGTTCGACCGGGAGTTCATCCGACATGAAACTTTTACGATGTCAATTTAACAGGAATTTTAGATCGAGACAATTTTCCCAAAAAAAAAAAAGAGGAAACCGTATGTATGTACGTAACACATACTTACTTCGGACAAAGGATGCTTCGACGCTTTATGATAAAACAATCGCGCATTAATTTAACGCGCGTATTTAATCCCTGTGGAATTCTATTCCGAGGGAGACGTGGATATGTTCCCCGTCGAGACAATACGAGCCTCTATAATTCTCGCCTTGCCGTCTCTCCGAGTCCGCATGAATACGTGTCGATATTAGTGACATACTTGGATATCGGCTTGTCTCTCTCCCTTTGCTCATCTGCTCCAAAATACAGACACACGCGCGTGGGAAGAGCCTACCCTTGTACCTTGGAGCGAGACTTGGTCAATCGTTACGTGTTACCGGCAAAAATTTCAAATGCATGCCGCGTGAAATGGGGAATTCCAGAGAAACGTGCAAGACTCTTTGCACTCGATACGTCACGAGAGATTAATACGTTTGCGTATGTTACGAGGCCGAGAGGAAAAGCATAACACTGTGTAGCGATAAGTTTGCGAACGGCATGCGATTGTAAGATTTGTTCGCCGCGCTTTTAAGTTTTAATTAGGTTGGTTTAAGGTGTAAGCGAGCAAAGCGTTAGTTTTGTAAAAAAAAAAAAAAAGACAATGGAACGAGTGTGCAAAGACGCGGAGGAGCGATACTATTCTCGACTGTGATACAAGGGTTAATAATTATATTCTTATCTTGGCGGACCAAGAGAAGGGCGCGCGTTTACTCCGTGAGACTGGAGGACTTATCGCTCGGGAATGAAAGCTGAGGGAATCCGACTCCCGACCTAGGCCAGTTCTTTCTTCTTACACTCATTAAGTACAGAGACCTTCGCGTTATATTACAATATTTTTTACCAGATGTAGATTAATATATTTACACGCACTTTCTACCGGCGGCTTACTCTTTTTGTACGTTTCTACTTGAGATTGATGGAGAATAAACTTAATTTTTTTCTCTTGACGTTCGAACGAGTTCCTTGCCTTCACCTCGGGGGTTTTCTCTCTTAAACGTATCTCGACCGAAACAACTATTCGTCGATATCGGGGACGGTGATCGATCGTCCCGGGGGTTGCGGCAACGAGATTCACGATCCGACAGTTGTAAACGTCGTCGCGAGACGCGATATCGCGTGCGGGATAAATCGCCTGTTGTGAACGATGGTAAACGATGGTTCGTCGTTTGATTTCAGTCGAAACTGAACTGCGAGGTCCTGGAGGACAAGCTGGCCTTCGAGGTGCGCTGGGCCGTGGCTGGAGACAGTATAGTCGGTCAACTGGTTGCCAAACTTGGTGAGTACAGGCGTACGTGCGCGCGTGTACTTCTGTCGCATTTATTGAATGGATGATCCAGGTGACTAGAGTAATATGCGAAATCCTATTATCTGTCATCAGACGAGGGACAGTACATGGCGTTCGGATTATCCGCGAACCCGGAAAGAAGCCTGATGGTCAACGGGGACGTGGTGGTCGCCTGGGTCGATAAGGAAACTCTTCAAGGGTATGCCGTCGATTATTTCCTCGACGCCAAGTCCCAGTGCTCCGGTGGACGCGGCAGTTGCCCGGATACCCGTATAAAGGTTCACTTTTCCGTCTCTCTCGTCCGATGATCCGATCATCGATCACGATATCGATTTCGAATCATTTATCCATGGTCCGCAGGAGAGCACGAATTCCATTCGATTGTTGAACGCGGCTTTGGTCGACGGGTACAGTATCGTCACGTACCAGAGACCGTTGAGAGCGAGCGACGAGCTGGACCATCAAATCCTGACGAACGGCTCACAGGCGATCATCTGGGCCATCGGCCCTCTAAACGAGAGGCAGGAGGTCAGCTTTCATTCGGATTATCTGAAAACCGACCGCTTCATCGATTTCGGCAGACCACCGGTCTGGAATTGTCCCGTTCCGGATCACGAACACTCTCAGATATTGCCGGATCCCGACAAGGGCAGCAGCACCCAGGTATTTCGTCGAAATCCGAATCGTATGAGGAATACGATGAACGAATTTAATTTTTCTAAACAGCAACTGGTCGTGATCACAAAACCGCAACGCCCGGCGACTCCCGCGCCGGTTTCCAAGAACGGTGCTTGGGAAATTCCGCCCATTCAATGCGACGAACCTGAAGACGGTGTATTGTACGCGCAGATGGGACCCACCGGAGGAAAGCACGGCTATCCCGCTATAACCGGTACGTTTAATTCGCGATCGAACGGTTCCATTAAAACTGATGAACGAGATTTTTCTTAGGTCACGTCGGTTGGGGCATCTCGTGGTACATAAACGGGCTGCTGATTCCCGAGATAAACGTGGTCCGCGGTAAAACGTACACTTTCTACGTGGAAGGTGGCGACAATCCGGACGTCCCGGCTCGTTACCATCCTTTCTACATCACCGATGACCCCGTCGGTGGTTACCAGCACAAAACACCCGAAGAGAAAGCGGTAAACCAACTTTCTCTCTTCTGTGATTAATTACACATCGCGCGGACGTAAAACTGTTTCTCCTGTCTCGCAGAAAGTGAAAATATTCGCCGGTGCCCAACGCCAGCGGGGCGTGTATCGACCAACGGGCGTCGGGCGTCTGTGCAACTGGGTGCCCGATCAGAGTAAACCCTCGGACGAATTCTCGTCGTTTGGTGCTTATCAACGCACGCTGACCTTGGAATGCGATAACGGCGATCCAGGCATCGTACAATGGACTCCGGATAAGAATACGCCCGACACAGTGTACTATCAGGTAAAATGACATGGACGATCGTGGCAAAAATCATTCATTGATCCAATCGAAATTTATATCTCTCTACGAAACGGAATAAATTTTCCAGTGCTTCACGCACCGTTATCTGGGCTGGAAGATAAACGTTCACGATAGTTGCGAAACTGGCGAAACGGCCGCCAGCGAGAACCACGAGGTGTACGTGAACCCGAAGAGCCAGCAGACGCAGGATCTCGAGGGTAGCTCCAGTATTCGCGAATCGAGCAAGGTAACGCCAACGGCGGAGTTTCTTCAGCAGCATCTTCATCATCCACATGGTGAACACGGGATTCGTTACTCTTACCATCATCCAACGACTAACCCCGGCAAGCTAAGCACGTCATACGCTACGCAGCTACTAACGACAGCTAATAATAACAATTACCTCCGCTTGAAATCATCGTCGCCGTACGAGATGGAGCGATACGTGCCGAAACCCGCGGCGGCTATACCATATCGTCACGAGGTACGCGTGAAGGAAACGCATCACGCGCACCTCGACGAGGAGAAGCATCATCATCACCATCATCACCAGCAGTTAGCGCCGATCTATCGCGAACAGTCGATGGTTGGCACCAGGACGAGCTACCCTGGCCGACAGCACGTCATGGAAACGGAACTGTCTAACCAGCAATTGTCTAACCTCGTTCCAGATAACCCACGACCAATGAGCCATGGGATGAAACACGCGTTCCCGGCCGCCAGCAGCCAGCAGATGCTGTATTCGAGGCCGGTCGCTCATCATTACGCGAACAATTACCATCATCTTTATCATCTGCCTTTTCCGCATCACTATCATCATCATCAGCCGGAGCAGAGAACCCAACTGATGATTATCAAGAAACCAATGCTGTCGCGTCGTCCGATGTTGCAGACCATCGTGCCGCAACCTACCATCGCGCTACCCTCGAGACCGATATTTATGGAAAGAAAGAAAGCCGTTTACAGACCGACCGTTTCCACCTACGGAAGGCGAACGGTAGAGAAACTGCCCGAGAAGGAGAACGAGAACCTTCAGAAGCTGAAGAAAATCGAGTCTAAGCAGCGGGTCAAACTGGACGCGAAAACGTCTAGCTTGGACGTCCCGAGTACTTTCGTGACTCCGATGAAACCCGCCAGAAATACGGGTTTCAATCCGGATTCTATAGTGATAGAGGGCGGTTTCAAGCCCATTATCAGAAATATCGATTCGGACGCTGTTCAAAGGAGAAGTTCCGAGAAAGCGGAGCGGGAAGAGGACGCGCGCGTTCAAGAAGCCTCGAACCACAGATCGATCGACAACTTCGAGCCGGTGTTCATACCCTCGCCGCCGGTTCCAACGGTGGACACCGTCAAGAAATCTAAGAAGAAGATTACGAAATCGCGCGCGAGCGGTGCGGACGACATGGAAATGGCTGCGGACAAGACGAACGCTTATTATTTACCGCCTAGCACGATTTCGAAGGATGCACCGTCGTCCGAAGTACTGATCACCTACGACGGGAAGAGATTGAAAGATTCTGGTTTGGCCAGGTCGATTTCAGGGATCGAGGAGCACTCGAAAACGAGACTGTCTTCGGATGTACTCAGCAGAACGCCGCAGTTTGGTAGGTTTAAAGGGGAACTGCCGCCTCCGATTCCCGGGGAGGTTCGATCGGACTATTCTCGGCACGAAAACACGAAGCTAACGCTCGTCGAAAGATCCAAGAGGTCCCCACACGAAGGACACGTTCACGTTACGAATTCTCAAGCGAACGGCACCGTAGATCATCACGGTCACCACGGTCATCATGAACACTCAATGTCCACGCTTGTCAGCGCTGGTCAAACGGTGATCGCTAATTTAGGATACATATTGTTGGCCGTGGTCTTCTACCACGTGATTTGATAAAATTTCCTGTTAATTATAAAATTGCAAGCTCGCTACATATTTCCTGGAGAACATCGACAATTGGGAAGACCTTTTCTCCGATCTCTAGAATTATACGTTGGGAACATTGAAAATAGATGCTGGATGGATTTAAGTAAGCTACTGGGAACGGTTAGTTGACGGTCATCGTTCGACGCAATCTTTCAATTTAGGAGCAGTTCCAAACTGATCATGCGTAATGTACGGTGACTCGGCGGATCGTAGAGATAATCGACACGATAACACGGGAGAGGAATCTAACTAACCACGGAATAATGGCTATTTATTCAAGATATTTATTAACGGATTATTTTCCTTTACGAAAACGATGTCTAACATGTATCTTGATAACCGTCGGTTATCGAGTAATGGCTGATCTCTATAACTTCATAGATAAAACGCTAAATGTTCATTAGGAAACGAAGGAGTCGAAACTTCTGAGGCGCAAGGAGGAATCGTGCAAGGATCTTATTATTCTACGTGCTATGACGACAGTTTGTTCTAGGCTATTATATACTTGTACATAAGTTAAATTAGTTGTTAATAAAGATTGTGTAATGGATCCTCGGGCGTAATGAAAAGCCCTAATCAATTTCCAGGTGCATTATACTACGACATACTACATACCTATTTCGTTCGAGACGAAGGATCGAGAGAAACGAGAGACATTAAGCAATATTTTATTGTACAGAAAAAGAAAACAAACAAATCTTACAAAACAACCAGCACGCTAACTACTGTACACGATCGTATAGTTATAATATAAAGAGCGTACGGTCGACGTCTTCGCTGATCACCTCGAAGACGATCGTCGACCGAAACGCGGTTAAGCAAGAGCACATCCTTGACTCCGCGTGTACACTCACACCTTGACTTCACGCCCGCTTTCACGGTCAGCGTACCGTTAAAAAAATTTTTTTTTAAGTAACCATCGATGGCACGCGACATAAAAATTCATCTACCATTAAAGGTTTGCGGGTAATCACTCGTCCACGATTCAGGCGTGCGTTTAATATATTCTAATCTCGAGCTCTCTGAGCCCGATTTCATTGCAAATGCACTATTTCTCATTCTCTCTGTCTCTTTCTCTCTCTCCCTCTCAAACTATTTCATCGTAATAATGCCAATATCGATTAATATGGGGAAACGTGCGGTTCCCAAAATTGACGAGCTTTATATATAAAATCCTGGTGATGGAAGATCGCCATAAAAAATATTACAGATCATTGTAATACTACGTTATACCAATTTCTCACAGCGATCTTTCGTAAAAACCAGATCCCAATGTGCACATACTGACTCGTCTAACAATCATTTGATTCACTCTTACTTGATCAGTATAATCGACTCGCACACGGGCGTGAACGTCGTACTCGTTATTACTTTTTCCTGTTGTCATTGCGTCTCTAAGATGACACTGAATTTACATATGTTACACGATTTCTTTGCTACTTTGCGTTGATGATTAAGTATGAGCAACATCGTTCATAAATTGATCGATCGAGATCTAATTAAAGTCGAAGCTTCTTAGTCGCTTTCGTAATAAGAGGAAACCTCGTTTCTGGGCGAGCCAGATAGGATGATTATCCCGTGATTACTTGTAATTTTCATGCATTAGTCACGCGATACGTGGCTAAGAAATTTAATACTAATGATAACCAAGGATACGTTCGTCGGCGAGGATGATACCTCTTGCACAATTTCGTTCCGCCTCTCATCTCTCCTTTTCCGTTGATAGAGATTTAATCTTTGATAGGCGAACAGTCCAACGAAAAACGTAAAGTAAAAGTATACACTTCGTCGTTGTGCAGTGGAAAGAGAAGTGAAGGACGTTGCGATTCCAATTTGGCGACACGCGATTGTTATCGTTCTACGAGATTATGTACAATTCTGTTCGCGGAATGTTTTCTAAGATGCGATTCAACGTGTTTCAGAAGGATGTAAAAGGAAAAGAAAAAAAAAAGTACTCTGCCGTGAACTCATTGAAATCGTTTTGTATTGAAAGAAAAATACTTCAGTCGTTAGAAGAAAAATTATACCCTCGCAGTCGTACGCGCGAAATTGCACAATCTATTAAAATAGCGTCACGTTTATTTCCCTTTCATTTCCGTTAAATCGCTACTGAGAGATAATCGCGTATTAAATATCTCGCGTCTTGAGCTCTAAGTAAAAAGAACGGCACAATATTCCCACCAAAAGACGTCAGATCCTTTATAAAAAAAAAGGATCGGTTCTCGATTTAAACGGGAGACGACATACTAGAAAATAAGATGTATCAAAAAGTGTACATTAGGAAAACAGTAAATCTCCATGCTACCGACTTTGTAAAGAGGAAAACAAAAGGAGAAAACGAAAGAAATCAGCAAATAATCTATATCTCGCCGAGAAGTCTCTCCGAATGCAGACCTCTGCGATCAGAAAACAAGTCGACCTGACTAAACTACGGGCTGATGCCAAACGATCTTTCCGTTGAGACAACCCGATACCAGCAAACAATGCCTCGGAGAGAATTTTGTACTAACCACGATGCCGGAATGGCTGACGTTCGCCGCTAACTCGTGAAGCTGCATCGACTCGTTATAAGGTGGAACACAGTTGGACAATTCCGAGCAATCGCTAGAAAATGCCAACAATCGTACACCGTAGCCGAACGGCGAGCATATCAGCCGGCCGTCGGCTGAGAAACACAATTCCTTTATATACCCGGAGCCCACGTTGGGCTCCTCTATATAATGCGTTAACCTAGGCGTATTTTTGTGAATCATACGATTTCTCGGAATAGCGTACATCGTCTGATGGATCTGATGCCTCTGGTGCATCCTCTGATGCAGCTGATGCATCCTATTCCGCCTATTGCGATTCTCAACTCTGATTCTGTCTCCCATAATGACAACGGTATTGTTGGTCGATCTGGAGAGCCAGTCTCTTTCCCTTCGGAGCCTGGCTTCCCGGATTGCCACATGCGCTTCCCACACATCGGTCGTACTCACGTTCAACTCTACGTTCCCAGTGGAATAATCGATTATATTGAGTGGTCTCAGGTCACCGATGATCCTCGGTGTCCTGTACTCTTCGTCCGATTCCCGTTCTTGTTCGCCCAGACGGCCGCGCACATAATTAACTATAGCGGTCGCGATTCTATTAGCGTCATTGTACGTAACGGGTCTCTCTCTATAGCGCTCGTTAAAATGTTCAATTACAACGGGAGATATTCTAAAGGGAGATATTATACCGGAAGCAGAAGGTAGGGATTCCTGCTGGAAGTCTTCGACCTCTCTCACTGGCACCGAGTCGAATCGGGGCGGCGGCGCCTCTTCTTCTTTCGTCTGGTCTACCGTCTCGGATGCATCGCGCTCTTGTATGTCGTGAATGCAGGTCCACTGAAACGAATATGTCAATGGATACGTGGCAAAAATACGGTACAATCATTGGTTGGAAATACAATTCATCGATATCTACCTCTGATTTCTCTCCGTTGCTGACGTTCCTGGATAGAGCACACCATCCTTGCGGATGTACTTGTAAGCTCGATATGATCTCGGCATCGTCGCCGATAGGAAAATCGGTTAAGAATTCTACTCTGTTATGCGTACGAGATTGAGAGAAAAGGTGCGTGAAACTCATCGCATATGGTATCGTGGTTTGCGACGATTGCATCAACCGGTACATGTTCGGCTGGAATCAAAATCAATATGTTAAATCTCATACGTCTTGAAATACGCGATCCGAGTGTATGGTACTGGGAATCGGACGTACCCGAAATCCTGCCAGATCCTGGGTCAGCGTGCTTAACTTAAGGTTGTGTATAATAATAAGATATCCAGAGGTGGTGCTTATTAACATTTTACTGGCATCTGGACTGAGCCTGGTGCGCATCAGACCATTCGTGTGAAACACTCGCCTATACAGAATACTGTTCTCTGTGAAACTGTTTATATCCCATGTGTATATGCTGCCATCGAAGCCGCTGGTTAATAGTAAACTATCTTTGGGACTGTATTCTATATTCTTCACCCAATTCGAGTGTCCTTGAAGAGTTCTTATTCTTTGCTTTAAGTTTCGAGCATCCCAGAGAGCTACTGTACTGTCATCTGAACAAGTTGCGAACATGCGTTGGTCTAAAAACCTGTCGAAAATAATTATTAATACAAGGAGGATTCAAACGTCTGTTCATACAAAAATATTGCTATACATACCTGACACAGTTCACGCAATCGTTGTGAGCATTGTCAATCGAATGGATCAATCTTCTTCTCAATGGATCGAACATTAAAATACTTTTCTTCTCGCATGCGGCCAATAGCAGCGAGCTATTATATACAAAGAAAACACGATGTCAATGATTTCTGTGATGTCTTTACAGCTTCGATCAGGGAATTTGGATACAAACCCATCTGGAGAGTACTCGAGGTTAAAGACTCCGCCATGGGCAGCGGTCGAAGATAACGCATGATCCCAAGAAGTTACCGGTTGGATAGAAGAATAAAGAGTTTTATGAAAACGATCAGAATGTCCCAGGGGGAACTTGATACCCAACTCGCGTTGTCTTAACCAGAGGCTATTCGCCTGCCTGGTTCTTACTTTAGGCATTTCAGCCGAGCGTGGATTTCACCAGCATTCAATTAAATCTATTTGACGATTAAGAAATTCACTGCCCCGAAAACGAAACTGAAACGCCTGTAACTCAAACTGAATCACGGGAGGCTTCGAGCTTCTTCCTTACTGTACGACGCGATCGATCGACTTTGATACCGTTTCCGTATCGATCGACTCAAACGCTTTCGATCGTTTTCTCGACGGAAGAAACAGCATCGACGATTTTTCTCTAGTATTCGTAAGACTCGTAGCCTATTCGTTCCGTACCGAGACAGGTTAAGTGCGGAATGCCACTGCAACGGGCAACGATCACACGTGACTCTTGACAGGCTGGCCGCCTACGCGTTCTTTTCAATCGTCGGAATCGAACGTGGAACCTTGTTGAGCGTGAGTGACCGAATAAAACTTCGCGATTACGTGCGATTCTCGTACTTCGACAGGATTCAAAGAAACTTTAAAACACCTTCGCGACACGAATCGAACGCCATCTTCGCTTTGACATAGAACGTCGCGCGTCGAGGATCGACGAGAAGTCTCCCAGGACCAGCGCGAGTATCGAACAAGAATCCTATTCGTGTGAACTGTTTCAGCCAAGGTAAGTGAACGCGCGTTTTATTACATTGAAAATGTATCGCGTCCAACTGCACGCTGCATCACGTGAGATTAGAATTCAGCTCGTGCACGCGGATTCAGCTGTTATGTGTCCATTAATAGAAAACCGGTCTCGCAGCGAGTACGAACAAAGTATCGAGCATCTTAATTAACCAGGTAAATAGCCATTAATTTACGCCACGTGCATTTGTGATCACGCATTTTGTTCTCTTTGTAATATATTTCGTGTCTGTCACTCGGTAACATGTGTACAATGTGCTGATGCGCCAGCGTAAAAGCGCCTACATTTAAACGACGATACGCTGCGTAGAATAGTTTTATTAACCCTTAGTTTCGATACTTGCTGGAAACAAACTAGATCAGAAGTATTAAAAGTATTTGCATTGGATTGAATTCAATCTTATCATCAAGCATTCGAATATTATTTTTAACTACATAGCTATGTCATAAGATCTATACTTAAAATAGACGGATTTTCCTTATCATGTTATTGTTTCATTCCTCGTACGATAGGATTTCCTTGTCGAAGTCGAGGCCGCTTCCGCGTAAATTCTTCTCAGTCCATTCATCGAACCTTTGGGACAATTCCTCGGACATATAATTCCTCCAATCACCGACTTTGCCTTTTCTTATGAATTTGTCATCGTCCGGTAGATCCTTCTGCGGTAAGATATGCTCCAAGTTTATCGCCGGATTCGTTGCCATTTTCGAGAACTTCAAATGTTCGCTGAGTTCTCCGATTTGCTCTTCCGTCACGGTTTTTCCTAAGAATTCTGCCGTCTTCTTGATCGCACCCACTTGATCCTTCTTCATCTCCTCGTACATTAGAAACAAAACGTTGTCCTGGTCTCTCATCTCCCAGAATTTCAAAACGTGCTTCCAGAACGGGCCCATCGGTGCTTGAAAGAGAAATATCGTTGTTTAATCGACGTACACCCGCGCTTCGATTAAACGCACGCGATAAATACCATTGTCTTCCAAGAACAATTCGGCAAACTCTTCGAAGCTTCCCGTTATACTATGGAAGTTCCGGCAATAATGGTAAAAGCTGACGCAGGTGTCCTTTGGATTTCTAGCAACGTAGATAAGCTGAAACATTCATATTCGTCGTATCGCAAACGCAGTGACACAATGCCGTGGAGAAAGATTAAGTACCTTCGGTTTCTTTTCATGAATCTGTTGCGGCAGCAATTCCAAAGGGAGATGAGACTTTATGTATCTGGTACGTGGCATGTTCTTAACGTTCTCCACCGAATCACCCAACTTCGCGAACCATTCCACGTATTCCCCTGTGACCATTAACGCCGAGGCTCTGAAGCGACAAACGACGAAAGAAACAAAATACCTCAACGCAATCTTTCGATCGTAACTTACTCGAGCAACGGATTACGTATGACCAACAGAGTTTGGGCATTCTCATAGTCAAAATTGTTCCCGATGCACCATACCATTTCTTGTGCCCAGTGGCTACCTGTGATACACAAAAGCGAGATGAGATAATGAGAGAAATCTGTTCGGTCAACGAATTATTACCAGTTCGTGGGTACGACACCATCCACACGTCGTCCTCGTAGATTTCCATGTCTCGAATTCTCGTTCCATAAAAAACGAATTGCGGAGGTATCATGCAATGACCCGGCTGTACTCTTAGGAAACTAGATTTCACGCCGAACATCTTGTCTAATTTTCGTCCCACGTCTCCCTCGATCGTGCTGAAGGTAAGGGGTTTCGGATCCACTACGAATGTTACATACAATTAAATGAATTAGCCCTCTTGGTTTCAAGTGTCGAACTCACTTGCTATGCGATTTCTGGTTGAAGCACGACGACGAATTCGGAGATGCTAATGCGTCTACGGTCCGTAACGAAATGAGAGTGTCCACACGAGTTTATCGTCGTCTCTTCGCTGCATTTCACAGTCCACTTTTTTTCTCTTTCCCTCAGCCAAAACAACTTTCGATTTCTACGGGTTTCCGCGTAAACAGACGAACATGCTTCCGTGCTCGTCGAGGTATTATTCCTAGAAAATGCCAGATACTGATCTTCGGTTCAGTTACATCAGTCATTCAACAAAACTGGAAACGAGTATTGTTTAATTATCGCGCCGATTCGAATCTGGTTGCAATCCGAATGATGAACTGCACTCTGTTTGAAATGTGGATCGTAATGGTCTGATAATGCGTGATTATCTGCGCTGAAACGAGAATTAATCGTCTGCACGGAAAATGATATTGGCGTTATTAACTTTCTCGCTGCAACAGATTTCTCTTTCGGAGAAAGTTGCTTGCATGCACGCAGCACGTTGCATTTTAGATCTGAAATACTATCGCGTGATACTTGACCTCGTTAGTAAATCTTAGACAAAAGCAGGTACTAATTTTCTTCTCTACAAACAAATTTCAAATCGTGTACAAAACGAAACAACTCTCGCGACTGGTTCATTCAGTAATTACGAATGTGTACAACTTTCATAATGCATTTTTATTCTGTTAATCCGCCGTTGCATTTACTTTCTCTCGGTCGAATGGCCCTTGGGCGATTTTCTATATTTGAGTACGAAAAATTCTGATTATTACCTCGCGTTTTTCTCTGATGAATATTAAACGAAAATATTAAATTGTTAGCTGGTCTTGTTTGATGAGAAGGGTTTTGACAATAGGAATAGATTTATTAATAATGTAGATATTTATTAATATAAAAATTACAATGCATAAATTTAACGTACGATCTGTATTACATGTACGTTCTCCGATTTTGATTCGCCGTTTACGTAGGAACTAAACTGTGTTCTCATTCTACGTGCTAGGATCAGTCAGAGCAACGGTACCGCTAATCTCAATAATTTATACCTATTCTTATAACAAACAAAAAAACACAGCCGTTATTCCTGCCATTAACGATAGCTGCCGAGTAACAGCGTTGTTCGCTTTCGAGTATGAGTCTACCACGTGTATCTTCCAGCCCATGTCCGCATGAGTAAACGAATTATAATAAACGATATCCGGCCACGTGGAATTAGGCGTCACTTCCAACACTCCACCATCTCCTATAAAATTTCATAAAAATTAATCGAGTCGAAAGAGATGAGGAGTTTGTTACGCTTACCTGGTTCGCACGTGCTCACAAGTGTTCTGTTGAAATGTTTAAACGTGGTGAAATCATCGTCCAGCCTTCTGTCCCGATCGTTGTGTTTGCTCAAGCAAAGTGGACCGACTGAAATAATTAATTTCGATGGAAAAGAGATAATTTGAACTGTGATCCGGCTTACAAACCTGCGGTAGGTCTTGGTTGCCCTCTTCTCGTGAACTCGACACCGGCCAGAACTCTAATTTTACTCTGCGCCGCGTCGCTGAGTTTGTCGTATCCACCGTGAGGTTCGTCGGTTATTATTAATGGGTGATACAAGTTAGGACTGTGCGGATTGTTCCCTCCGTGAACGCGGAAGTTGTAAGTCAATCCGCGTCGCAGGTACAATTCAGGTGCCAATTGTCCCTCAATGTACCAAACTAAACCTGTTGACGTTTGCCCTAAAGGATTTTGCTGGGTTACTACATCGTAAGATCAAATATGAATGATTTTTAAATATTTTCATCGAACCTGTGATTCCCTGGTAGCCCTTTCTACCCCCAGACGGACCAATCGTAGCTTTAAACGTTCGTATGCCTGTGTCGAATATTTCTGCCTTCTCCCAAGATTCTCTGCAGAGAGAAAATGCATTTATGCGTAATCAACGTCGTTGAAGTTGTTCGGTGGAAGTTCAACTTACATCCGTTTATCATTATTCTCCGTGAAATCCATACACGTGTTCTCGGGTTCCTGGCGAGCTAGTTCCAATTTCAAGTCGCTTTTTGGATACACGTCGTGAAAAGACGGCTCTTTATTAACATCCAATCTTCCCAAGGCCCATATCACATATACAGGTCGATTCGTTGGATATTCTTTATCTCCCGGATCAGCTGTAACGCAGATGATCTCATAAAGAAGTCTACCTCCGGTTTGTTAAATTAGAGCAGTGATGAATGCTATCTTTGACGTATTGTAATTATGCTTTCTCCATCGATCTAATGTAAGACAAACTTACATGAGATAAGGTTACGCCTGTAAGTAATGATATTAATTCCATCTTCCCTCACTGCTGTGTACAGCTGATTGTTGTCCAGACCACCGAGCAGTTCGTCCCTGCAGACTCCCTTGTATTGACCGAGAACTTTTCCGCACTGTTCATGAAACGTAAAGAAATATTATTTTCTGAATTTTAAATTCATGTTAATGATCAATTACCGGTGCTTTCGCGGTGATGTTGTAATCCGCCGCGTATCCTCTGGTACCATCTATATAAGCAACGACGACATCCGCTCCTTCCATTTGGCTAGAGGTTTCAGAACCGGAAAGACCGAAAGCCATGTACTCTTCTTCCCCTACGAACATGATCAGCAAAGTTGTTCACACTCGAAAGGAATAAAAATTGTTAGCATACGTACTGACTTGTCCAGCTAACTGGACAGTGATCTGCGGGCCGAATATCTCCCAGCCAATTTGGAACCGTTTGTGAAGCTGAATACAATTTGGCAGCGTCTGCGAGAGCTTGATCACCTGTACTTTGATAGTTCGATCATCAGTGCTCGAACTTTTAATCGTTTACGGTAAAAGGGATTGGAAAAATTTGATTACTTTTACTAACGAAGGTGGCACGTTCAGACCATGCGGAATTATAACGGAACCGTAGTTGGATTTCGTTTTCACATCGAAGATGCTCAACCAATCGATATTAAAGACGGTCATGTCTCCGGGTAACTGGATGATCACGTCTTCGCCGTTGTACGTATGGATCGGATCGAGACTGATCACAAAAGAAAGCTTTAATTGATCGCAAACAAATGTATTTGTACAATTTTTGAAAATTACTTACTAGCCGTACTCGTCGGGAACTTTGACTCCCTTGCTCGAGGGCTGCGGACCGAGTCCTACCCAGAAATAAGTATCGTTTCCCTGGCCGTCGTAAGTGAACTCTGGTATTTTGATAGTTTTCGAATCGAGGATCACGACAGACTCGGACGACACTCCGTGCGATCGTTTGGTCAATTGAGAGATCTTCTGCGGCGCCGGCGACTCGAACTCCTCGGGAATGTAGACGTCGCCGAATGTGTTCTAAATTAAATATATTACAAATCAAGTCTACTATTTCAAATAAATAATCTTCGATCAAGAGTAATGCATATATAAAATAACTAATCGCGTCTAAGTAAGTGCAGATCACCTGGCTTCCCAGATCGTACACTGCGAACCATTTGATATCCGTTATTTTCTTGTTGTCCGGTAAGGTGAGAGTGAAATCCTTATTAAAGTATCGATCGAGGACGTTCGTTCTGAAACAAGCGACGTATCTTTGAATCGCGTGGCTCTGACAAGGCCTCCTTCGCAGCGTGAAGCGTGAACTCACTTGCCCCATTCATCTGGGACGATGAAACCTTGAGGACCGGGCCGATTCGACGCGCCGGCCCAGAAGAAAGTGTCGGCCCCATTACCATCGTAACTAAACGAAGTCAACAGCAACGTGTACTCGTCGACCACGTAAACGTCACCAGCCACCTGATGATGGTACGCGTTCAGTTTGCCAAGGTACTTCCCTTTGTACTCCTCGCCGTCCGACTGGGCGACACCTGAGTCACGCGACGATTAAAAGAAAAATCGGGGAAATCGCTCGAAAGTTAATTGCGAGAGAATCGCGGCCGGAGAAAACTGATAGGAAAGTGGAATGTTAAAATGTAGATCACTGCTTCTAGCTCTCGCGACTAATATTGAAATTACAACGCGTCATTAAATCTGTATTTAATAAGCGAAGATTTCGACGCTCGGACAGGAAACGTCATTCAGTGTTGGTTTTATCAGTCGGATCGACGCACGATGCTTGACATACGTGTATAAAAAGGTAAATGGAATACAGAGTGTTCAGAATTATTATGCAGAGAATTTCGAATTTGCATCATACGCAGAGTCGCGTCGAGAAACGTACCGTAGGCAGGGAACAGCACACATGTCAAAACCGTCACGAGAACACGCGTGATCCACCTCCTCGTAACATCTGCCATCACTTCATCTTCCTTCGATTTACGTCACAGGACTCGTTTCCGCACGGTGCAACTACGATCTTGTCACTGCCAAGATTCATGGGAGACCGACGAAAAGAAAGAGAGCGAAAGGCACGCAGCAGCTGGAAATGGACGCGAACGGTCCCGACTTGTTCCGCGCAACACCGACTCTAGAAAGTAGACTTGGAGACTGTCTGAACGGTTACCAGCGACTATACCCGCTTCTCCGACCGCCTTGGGCACGTGTACCCACCTCGAAGAGAAAGCTGTGCGTACGGCCCAGAGCTGGCTCGATCGCGATTCAATGTCCACGAACACCGAACGGGTTCCTCCTTCCTCCGGCCAATGTCACTGGACTCTTGTCCTTCCGGTGCTCACCAAAAAGGAATGCGTGCCGGGGAGGAAAAATAAAGAAGTCAACCGATGACTAACAAGCATCCGTAGAAGCATCGGGATTTCTGAATACCTTCTTACTAACGCAGGATGGAGTAAAGAAGGGATTCTAAAATAATCGCACAGTGTTTTATAAACATATTTTACAATAAAATGTGTCGATTGTTAAATTCCCGCGCTACGTTTAAGTGGAAGTGCGCATTGTTTGATCGATTCCTGAACTATATAGACAGTTGTTAGTAGCTTAGTTTATTGAATCGGTGATGTTGAGTACAAAATTTGATCCTAATAATGGTAAGACATCAAAATGTGTTAATTACTAGTCGATCACGAAGAGCTATGTTTCATAGATTCGGTCGAGGAGCAGTTTATGTGGATTCTTAGATTCGCGAGTGTCAGGAAGATTAAAGAGTTTTTATTAAAAATGTATGTAGATGAATGCCGATTGTATTGATAATTTAATAATACTGACTGTAATTATAGCCCGTCGATAGAATTGAATTATCCTACGCCTAATTTAAATACACCGATCACGTCGGCCATCGATCGAGCCGATCCACAAATCTTTACTTACTTGTTAGACAAGAGTTCTACGAGCTTAGACGATACCATTACTCAACCCTGTCGAAGAACTGCTCTTATGTATGCCTCCTTCGTTTCAAGAAATCCTGAAATACTGCAAATCCTTGTGAAAAAGGGAGCGGATTTGGGGAAAACGGATATGTAAGGCGCAGAATGCATAAAAGTATTTAACAAAGGTTCGAACATATTTTTATTCAATGCAAATACATTTATAGTAGAGGCTGGACTTGTCTTCAATACGCCATCATAGGCGAACGATCCGAGAACGTGAAATTCCTTTTAGATTCTGGCGCTTCGATTAATCAAAAAGACTCGCGAGGACGAACGCCGCTTATGACGGCAGGTAAGAAGACCTGGGAACGAAGAATCGATGAAACATTTATTGAGAAACCGTTTGATTCAGTACATCGATCGAATTTGGATATTCTTTCACTTTTATTGGACCATGGAGCTGACATTCACGCGAAAGACGATAATGGGTTCACCGCTCTTCAAATAGCAATTTTATGGAGGAAAAGGGACGCAGCGATAATGTTAATTGAAAGAGGAAGCGACACGAACGTCATTACACCTCGGACCAAAACGACGATCGGTGAACTGTGTAAAACTAGTATGCCGAACGTTCTTCGGTGCCTCGAATCGAAATTGAAACTATCGCCGATTGATATTTCCTTGATTGATTAGTTACCTGATCTTAAAAGGAAAGATTATGCGGGGCATATTTTTCTTTCGTCATCTCGTCGAACTTCTTAATTACGCTCGGTGGCATTTCTTCCTTCCATTGATTTACTTGACCCTTTCGGATAAACTTGCCATCGGCAGTGATCGTGTTTAGCTTCTGCATCCCAGCGATTTGTTCCTCGTAATTCACAGACCAATTAGTTTTCATGCTATCGAATGATAAGTGTTTCACTAACATTTCCATTTTATCTTCGGGCACCGGTTTGTTCAAAAACGCTGCAGCTTTTCGTATCACCGCGGCCAAGTCCTGTATTTCATAAAAAAAAATACGTACAAGTCTTTCTAATGATTTTTTGATGTTCGAATCACTTACGGCCTTCATGTCCTCGTATTTTATGCAGAGAATGTTCGACATGGCATTTCGCCTAGTCCAGAAGCCAACCACATGATCCCAATACGGAGTATAATTAACTATCAAAAATGATTCATCGATATAACATCATTGCAAAATTCATTTCAATTGTCTATCTTATCAAAAAATATATGTACGTACGCTTGTGTCCCAGAAACAAACGACAGAATTCATCGAAATTACCGCGATAATCCTCCATCAATCTAGAGTGATAATAATACGAAACGCAGGTATCTTTCGGATTTCTGGTGACGTAAACGATTTTCGGTTTCTTCTCGCCAGTTCGAATCTGACGCGGTAGCAGGTGAAAAGGCAAATGACATTTGATGAATCTCGGACTCGGCATATTTCTCGTGTAAGCCACGCTGTTGCTGGTCCGCAGGGTAAGTTTACGGTCCGGGTGAAGTTTCGTGACATTCTCGTAATCGAAAAGCACGGTCAGCCTGACAAAATTATCACGTTTAACCCTGCGACTGTAGAGATATCGAACATCATAGAGCTTACTCCAAAAACGGAAACCGGTCGATTAAGAGAGTTTTCTTTGCTTCTTCCAAGTCCACGTTGTTCCCGATGCACCAGATCATTTCCTGAGTCCAAGTCGTTCCTGATTGTATCATTTCGATTAAACTATCATCTCTGATACGTTTCAATGTTATAAAGAATTTATAACTATCTACCGCTTTTGGGAAAACTGCAGACCCAAACATCGTCATCCTTCACTTCGAAATTCTCAATCTCCTCCTCGAATCTTTTGTACGTGATCGGCAGGCAAACACCTTGCACGGTCACGTACCCCTTACGGAAGTCATTCGTAAATTTCTCTTTTAAAAGCCGATCCAAATCTTCGTTTTCCTCAGTCTGAGAAGCCATTTTCTCTTAACAAATTTGATCCAAGTGTTCGAAGATCGATTCTGATTCTACTCTTTATTTGTAATGATCATTGATCAGAGACGCGAGGACGGATTTCGCAAAGTATTGTGACATCCGACAGGAAAAATTATGTGTTTCGTTCCCGATTTGAAGAGAACAGACTGTTTCAGAATCGGCGAATATTATCCTTATATAGGCCGACCTGTAATAACTACCACCTACAGATAAACGACTCGAGGCTTGGCTTAAGGAGCGATTATTGAACAAAATCCAGCTTTATCTAATTGTACAAATTCTGATTGGTCGATTTAACATGTGTTGGTATCCAGTCTCTCAGTCGCAAATTGTTTTGTTAATAACATTGAGACGTTTTTGTTTCGGTGTTACTTTACTAGAACAAGGTCGCAGACAATCTTTCGCGGTTTTTTTCCCTACAACCGTTAGTTTATCTCGGGCTGCATTCGTTCTAATTGTAAAACGCAAGATGCAATTATTCGAAGTGCTTTTTAAAAAATGTTTAATTAGACAAATTATTTGCGGAGGAAAATATGTAAGTATTATTTTCCTGGAAATATTCTGCATAGCTTTGACTTAGAAATCAAGGGCGTAGAAAAGAAATAGAATGCTTAGAGAGAAATCAGTCTCGTATACTAAAATCGTATATTAAAAAATTTCTGATGTTTTTCTAACAGGAGTGAAGGAGTTAGGAGGATAATGTATGAGACGTAAATAGATCTGCTTTATTTTTATTATATAATCAAATGAGTATAATCGTAATACAAAAAAGGTAAACTATTAGAAAAATTCAAGAGACTATATTATCTAAGTCTTATGAGTAACAAAAGATTGTGTACTGTGATTCAGGTACTAACAACTACTTTCGTCGTCTTAAAGCATTTTACTTTCCCGCGAACAAACTCGGTGATCGAACGTATTCACGACGTGGCGAGTCATCTTTCCTCTAAAACTAGTCAATTGTTAAATAAAACCTAAATGTGCCGTAGCATCGAATGAAAAGTTTCATTACGATTTCATAAGATCTGACGTGATTCGTCGCCTCAATGTATTTTGTAGTATGAAAATATCTTGGCAAGATAATGTTCCCTTAAATTTAATATTAAATATCATAGATTCTAGGCACAAATCTGTAGAACAACGCATCGTATCTTAATACAGATATATAATAGTTATTGTTTGATAATCTATGTTTGTTCAGTCTCGTGTCGCACACGAAACGCGAAGATTATATCGTAAAAAATGATACACATTTGGACCTTGCAAATGTATCTTAAACATTAAAGACTTAACGCAATGTTAGTATTTATTATGCTGTATCGTAAATAAAGTTAAACTCAAGAGGAGATTTTAAACTGACGAATCTTTAATAATCCTCTCGCGGCTCGAGAGGCCGAATACTTTGTACGTTGTTTCTCTATTATCTACTCAATAATCGGACTACTAATTGACATCTACGCTACGCAAACATTTCTCTCTAATGTTACATGTTCGATATGACGCTGACGCTCTGTGATAGATCCACTTGGCCCCTCAGTACCTTCTGTTGCAACTTCTTACAAAAGATTTTGGCCATCAGCTTGTTACGCCGCGCTTCTTCTTGTTTCTCCCGCTGCCGTCGCTTCTGTCTCACTTCGTTTAAATGAAGATAACGTTTTCGCAGCCTCTCTCTCATTTCCTCATCGCTCATCTTCTTCTGCGTATAAGCTACACGTCATATATAACAAAAGACATTAATTTTCGTAGATCGATCGACGATTATTTATTATCTTAACGATGTAAACAGACGAAGGTCGGTACCTGGCGGTTTGGAAGATTTCGAAGACTTGAGAACATTCGACGTACTAGCCATCGCCAACAATTGTATCCGCTTCTCCTTTCGCAGTTGTCGCAGATGAGATATCTCTGACATGTATTGACGACGTGTTTCTGCATTATTTACGAAGTCAGCTTTGTTTTTGGACAAATAATCCTGAAACCAATCGATCACAACAATAAGTTATATAATCAATATGTTCCTTTAGATAAGGCTGTATCATGATCGATTACCTGTAGAGTATTCTTCTGCGGTGAACTCATCATCGAGCCAGCCTTTTTAATCAAGTTACAAACACAGCCATCCGTCTTACCCTCGTTAACGGTACGATTCGATAATGGCACTTTATGCACCGCGGCCGAATTCTCGTTCTTCCGTTCGTTCTTCGTGAACGACAACTCGTACGCGATCGGTTTCGGATACGCTTGCGAACATTTGCATCTCTTTAAGCTCTGATAAGGTACACCGCAGCGATGACAATATTTACAAGTCCTTTCGGAGTCGCTGGTTTGATTTGCCTCGTCCGCGCGATTTGGTTTCCCGTTCTTCGCCCTATTACTACAAAAACAATCCTTCTCGCAGTCGCATTTTGCGTTGCTTTGTACTTTGTACTGTGTAGAACTGCCGCTCTGCTCGTTGCTCGCACAGTAAGTCCATGGTTGATTCTCAGATTCTGCGTGGAAGCATCGAGCTTTTGCGTTCGAGTGACAACCGCAGAATCCTATGTGAACCTCTTGATCGCGGCTGTTTTCGCAGGAACAGTCATTCGAACACTCGCACAATTTGACGTATCCGTTTTGATTGAAGCTCGGCACGTATCCGTTACTATTATGATAATACTTTGAACTATGTTTCATCGGTGCCCGTCCCTTCTTCGGCTGATCGTTCTCGCACGTGCACGACTGACATCCCTTTGACGATACGCTTTGGCAGACGTGGCCACCTTTGCAATCGCATAGTTTCGACTTCGACGCGTTTATCTGATTTTTAGCATCCTTCTGCTTCAGCGGAGTGGTTTGAACCTCCTTGTTCGCGCAGTGGTGAACCATCTCCAACGAGCCCCGGCTGTTCGTTCGGTCGGTGATTTGCGAACACACCGGGCTCTCTTCTCGGAAATTCTCTATGGAAGCGTGCACCTTTTGAACGCTGGTAGACTGGTCCTTCTGCTCCTGTAGACACTGCATGCAAGCAGTTACCACGTTTTGTTGATGCTTCGTACACTGGCTGGCTCGCTCGTTGTATTTTGGGAAATGCATCGCACTGTGCGCCGGGCACTTCACGTAGTGCACGATCTCCGATTGTATCAAAGCTGGAATCGTGGACATTTCCTGGGGCACGGTTTGCATCCCGGTACTGATGAGCTTCACCGTAGACTTCTGTACGCTCGTAGCTGACACGATCTCACCGCCGGTTTGCGAATGAGCACCAGTCACGTTGGTCGCAGTTTGCGCGCAACTGTTTCGTTTCCTGATGCGTTGAATAGTGCTGTTGGATGTGTTGGACATCTGACACGCGGCTAAGTTGCAATGAGACGACCACGGCTCTTCCGCCGATCCGTTTCTCTGCGAGTAATCTTCCTTCGACGATTCTTGCGTTCGCGTCTTAAAGTTTTCCGATCTTGATTTTTTCGGAGAGGCGCGTAGCCTCTCCGGTCGTCGCGACTCCTCTAACAACTTCTTCAGATTGCACAAATGGCTGATCTCGTTCGTGATCCAAATCAATTGGTTCCTCTTCTCCATCTCCGCATAGCTGACCAGCTTCGAGTCTCCGGATTCTGAATTACTGCACTTCTTCAACTCGAACTGCCTCTCGGAGAAAGTAGTGAGCAATCTCCAGTCGGCCTGCTCCTCGGTGTTACTCGAACGAACTCTTCGGTTGTTCACAACCGCATCTAACAACATTCGGTTGTGATCCGGTGCATGCATACTATCCGTCGTGGTCGTCGTTGAATCCTGCTGCGAGATCTTGCACCTCTCTTTCGCGGAAAATATATCCTGCACCTTGTTACTCTTGCGGCCTCTCTGTGGAAAGAAGCACTCGGAACTCTCACTTTTGTCGGTGACAGTATTGCTGCTTCGACGGCAATCGTCCGATCTAAGTCCCATTCTCGCTTTCCGTCCGTCAGTTTCGGTCCTATCCGTGTTTTTGTCTATTTTATCGCTGCTGCTCTCCAGAGCCACGTCCTTGCCGATCCCTCTGCCGTTCCTCACGGTCTTCCCTCGCGCGACTCCCTTCTGCGGGTTCCAGTCCGCCGACGAATCGCTCGTGTTGTGTTTCTTCGTTAAAGCTTGAAGGATCTCCCTGCCGTAGACCTTGCTCCTCGCGTCGTCCGGATTCCACGGGACGTTGTCCTCCAAATTATGTTCTATCTTATCGTCGGTGTACTTGGCGGTGATCAGTCTCTTGACCACGTGATGTATCAGTCTTTTCTTCACCTCCTTGTCGCACTTGTTCGCGTCGACGAGGCTCTTCAAAATGTTCACGCTTCGTTCTAAATCTCTGACCAGGCTGTCCGAGTCACCCCATAGTTTCTCGTTAATACTGGAACTGGTATTGGGCAAAGTGGAATGAGACCTTCCGGTCTCCGACGACGATACATGGCTGCCGCTTCCGTTCGGAACGTTCTCGTATACGTGACCGGGGAAATATTCGAAACTGTTCGCTCTCCCAGTAATGTTTTCCGCCTCCTCGGGTTGAGACGTTTGCGTGGCGGAACCATTCTGCGACAATTCTGAATAACTGAGTCGCTTGGGTTTAGCTTCCTTGTTGGTACCAGCGTTTCGCGTTTTCCCGACTTCCGGATCCTTCGAATTCTCAACTTTGTACGTGCCTTTCGAATTTTTCGTCATTCCCTTTTGCAAACTAGTTCCTCTCTTTGGTAACGGCGGTTTCTCCTCCTCTAGAACCGAAACTTGTATTCCGACGGATTCTTGAGAACAAGCGTACAAGCTCGTCTGTATAACTTTATCACAAGTGGAAGGTTTATTTACAACGGTGGCGATCGAGGACGAGGAGTGAAAGATTAACGGCAATGCGGCCTTATTCTTATCCCTAGCATGTAAATTTAATTCGCTCTGACTCCTTTTTAACGATAATTTAGAAGGCGATATGACTAACGTATTCATCGATGTACTCTTCTTCAAAGACGAATTGGGAGAGTATATATTTTCTTTGTTTTGTTTGGCCGGTACTTTTTTTGCCTCGGTCAGCAATTTCGTTAGAGGTACTTTAGACACAAATGCCGATTTCGGAGTATCATAGTTCGATTCCTTCTTCGGGTACTGCGCGAAAATATCTTGCGGCTTAGAATTTTTCGGCGGGAACCTCTCATTAGACTTTATATCGTTCCCGGTTATAATACCGGGCAAGTGGTTCTTCACGATCGGAGTTATTTCCAACTCGCTCTCCGATCCTGAAGCGTTCTCTAACAACGGAGTGGAATTAGCATCAGGTGTCACAGACGCGGCTGAATTCTTTTGAACGCCAACAAGTTTCACAGAAATCCCTGATTCCGTAGTACCTTCGGGATCTAATCTCAAAGCAGCCGAGCAACCCCTAGCCAAAGCCATACGTTCTATGGTACTCAATTTTTTGTCACTCTGTTTGTTACTAGGCAGTATATTATAGTAACCAACATCAGCTCCACTGTCCCACTCCAACGGCTTGTGAGAGGCGATGCTCGAAGTCGGAGAAGACGTTTTTCTATCAGCACTTTCTGTCAATATCTCTTGGCTCTCATTCTTTTCCTCCAAAATAGTTTCTGGCGTGACTCGTTTTAAATCCGGCGACAGAGACTCAGGGTTTGCCAGTGATTGAACGTACCTAGACGTGGACTCGGTGTTCGAGGACTGGCCTATGAGAGGTGGCCTGACCCATCTTCTTCTTTCTCTGGGCACGTAGGACCGTAAATTATACTCCTCGCCTATGCAATCCTGTCTGTTAGCCTCTGGTTGCGAATTTACCTCGTATATACTGTAATAACATTTAATCGCTTCCGGCGACGTGCTGGTCGCGGGCAATGAGAAATACTGATCCAGATTCGCGTTTTGTGAATACTTGTGGTAATACTCCATCACCTGGGAAGAGAGGCTTCTGTTCGTCGCCCCGAGCTTGAGCTTTGGCTGCGATGCCACTACTTGCAAGGCTTGCCATGCCGTCGAATTCGTGGTGCAGGTCCCACATTCGAGTCTCTGGGGTTCTCGTAAACGCGGTGGATCCTCCGAAGCTTCGAAATCTCTCAGACGACCTTCACAGTTCGATGCAGAGTCATACTCCATAATCACGAGCTAGACGTGCTTTATCATCGTTCGTTCAGGGTTTGATACATTGTCACATTTTGACGACGAGCCTCGCCCTCGATACGAATTGCTGGTAAACATTCGGGCAATCGATCATGGCTCTCCTAATTGGGAAAAACGCTTCCTCAAGGGATGGTGACACGGTACAAAAGGGAGGTTAAGATGCTACTCTGAATGATTACGAGACCGACCTAGTTCTCTTAAACTTAACGAAATTTTTACGACCCAGCTCAACTATGAACTTGTCACGGAGAGGATTGCCGCGATATTCGTCGCACCGTGCTCGTTTCATACAGTTTAGCGATATTAAGAAACTTCTCTATAAAAAGCTCGAGTTATTGTTTACACTTCCCTGAATACTCAACCGTAAACTAGCGGTGAATTTTACACACTATAGAGGAGGTTGGAGAAGCAAGCCACTAGTTCGAACGGCACCAATCGCGATGCCAGGACTTGCTAACACATGGATATTCTCGTGTTCCACAGGTCGAGTGCACGCGTGTTAGTAAATCACTCGCGTCGAGTGTTTTGAATCCACAACGTGCTCGAATAACCTTGCGATTTAAATGTGGCCTGAAGAAGACCGGGTCACACCCGCGATAAACGTGCGGAGACGATGCAGAAATGCAGAATTTGCGGCAGTACGGCCTTCTACAAAGAAGCCGGGTATTTTTTCTGTCAAACATGTCAAACGCAGAACGAGGACATGAGAGAGGAAATACTTGAGATACGTGTAGACAGTGCAACGAGATTACGAAAAACAAGGATCAGACAGTTGAAAGACAAGTCAGGTATTGTTAAAACATATTTTTAATATTGTTCCAACGGATTCTTAATTCTCTTATTGCAATCACTAGACGGAGAAGCTGGATGGACTTCGTGGGAATTGTACAATTTTGTTTTAATCGGTCTGACGAATGAATTAATTGAACTCGGAGCTGCAACTGACATAAAATTAACAATATTACAATTATGGGCAACATATCTGGGCAAGCTGGAGGTGGCCTTCATCTCGACCAAAAAGAAGTGCTTGCCAAAATTGGCAAGGAGATATAAGAAAAAGTACGTTTGCATAAAGATATTATTGTAATTTGTATTTAAATATAAATTGGTGCAACAGAGATGCTGCAATCATTTATGGCAAGATGGGATCACAGAAGAGTTCTAAAAAGAGGAGAAGAATTGGGAGCGTAAATACTTCTATAGTATCTGGTGGCATGAGTGAGTGCAGTAGCTCTACGAGGGACTTGAATAGAAGCAAGGTAGTTTTCATTATTCTCTTAAGAAATGACAGATTACTTGGTACTTACATATATTTTACTTTCAGAAACTCTTAGCAACTGCAGATTACGACAGGTATCTTCAGTCTCAAGCTAGTTCCGATGGTGATGGTTTAAGTACGTGCAGCCAAACTGCACCCAGTCAATCTAGTTCTGTGAAGTCTTCGGCAAAGGAGGGAAAGTAAGTGCATACTTTATTTTTATAAAGAAATTTTAGACTCTGTTTCTCACATCCTTTAATTTTGCGCAGAGTACAATTTAGCTCTCACGCTAAAGCAGAGGCAAAAAAGATTAAAGAGCTGTCTAAAGGAGTGCCGAGGTCGAAAAAAGTTAAATACAGAGAAACACATATCAGGACTCAATATAAAATAGGACCTCAGGTAATTACACCAATGCGGCTATGGGCAATTCTATACTTAGCTTTAAGGATAGAGAATCAACCAATACAGTTAGGAGATATGTTAAGGTATGTAACAATTTTTTACCTCATATTCAAATCTTTTTACTTCATTCATGAACCTACTCCTATTTAGATACGGAAAGGAAGGGCATTTATCTTATTACAAATTGGATCACTTGATACCGACAGAAATTAGTTTGACCGCACAAGAGAAAAATTTTTTAACTCAAAATATTGAACTGACGTCCAAAGGATTGAGGCGAATGGTTGCGAGCATGGCCAAGCTTCTTGGCGTGTGGGAGTTACTTTGTCCAGATTTGTCGTCTCTAGTTGGTAGATACTGCCAAGAATTAGGATTGCCAAGTATGCATTCTTTACGCTCGATGATGCAAGTGTAGTTAATTGGATATTTCATGATTCAATTTGTTTCTAGGAGGCATTCGCCTGTACGCAGAAAGATTTGTAGCTTTGTCTCCTCCGAAAATGGCATTTGATGGAAAAAAATCGTACATTCCGAACTACGAAGGTCGCGCGCTGGGTTTTATTATCGTGGTGTTGAAGATTTTGTTAGGTTTAGATGGTGTGACCGAATATCAGATCAGTAGGATCGCAGAGAAGATCAACAGGTATGTTTAAGTGATAAGTGAATATCTAATACGTATTCATTTTGTTTCGAACCTCAAAATTTATGAATGTATAGTACCGTTAATTGACGAGAATGAGTCACGGGGATATTACGTATTGCGATAACACATTGAATAAGAAAATTGTTCTGAACGACGACTGTAAATGTTACGAAAGCAATACCCCGTGTATAATCGTACATGGGGGGGCTGGAAATTTTAGTGATAACATAGTTATAGAAAAAATGACAGCTTGTAAAAAAGCTGCGATCAACGGTTACAAAAAATTAATACGCGGTGAAACTTCGGTGGATGCAGTAGAGGCTGCATTGTGGTGGCTAGAGTGCGACGAATTCTTTAATTGTAGTTACGGATCCGTACTGAATGAGATAGGTACTTGAGAAATGCCAAATTTAGTTATATCTTTGCGAGTCTTATCAATATTTCAAACATAGGGAAAGTTCAAATGGACGCAAGTATAATGGACGGTTACACATTCAAATGCGGCTCGGTAGCGGCAGTCTCGGATATAGAGCATCCTATAACTCTTGCAAAATACGTTATGAACAATTTCCCGAATTCTATTTTCGTTGGCGACGGTGCGAAAAATTTAGCGAAGCACGCGGACATAAATTGGCTGTCGGAAGGAAACATGACCGCACCGTTAGCGCGTTTAGCTTTCGATACGGAAGAAAAAGGAAAACTCGATTCTGTCGTTGATAATCAGAGTTTGTTGGATCTCAATACATTAATTGGTAAAACAACTGTATTCGATATTGTAATTAGAAAAAAAATAGATACTCCATGCCAATCGTTCGTAGATAGTTCCGATACCGTTGGTTGTGTAGCGTACGACGGGTTTAGCATAGCCGCCGGGACCACGACAGGTGGTTTAAACAAAAAGTTAGTAGGAAGAGTAGGAGATTCTCCGATCCTGGGCTGCGGTACTTATGCCACCAGGAACGTAGGTTGTTCTTTAACGGGGCACGGGGAATCTATAATGAAGCTAGGATTGGCGCGTGCAATCGTAGAGGATGTCGAGCATAACGTTCCGATCGAAGAAGCTCTGAATAATCATTTTACCCATATGTTAAATAAATTTGACCAAATCGGCGGCGGGATTGTACTTCAACCGGACGGTCATTGGGCAACGTATTTCACTTCTGAGAAAATGCCGTACGCGGTAATAGAGAACAATTTAATCACGTATGGGGCACGATTGTACGAAGAGAAACGGGAAATTTATAACGAGGGCAGGCGTTGTGAATGCGATTTTCCAATTGTACTTATAATTAGATATCTTCATAGAAACTACATCGATATTTCATCTGTTCAATGTTATCAATCTTGTATTTCAGCATAGCTATTGAACGTGGTTTATTCGATGGAAAGTTATTTAGTTTCCGAGAATGGCAGAGGTATATTGAGTATAGAAAGACGATTTTAATCCACGCACATTACCCAACTAGAATCAAATATAGTCCGGAGTCGAGCGTCATCGATAAGGCGTATCTAAAATTCTTGGAATTCATTCATTCTAAATCTAATAGAAATGAACGAAACGTGAAAGCTTCAAAACATTTGCTGCCCAATGAACTTCTTGATGCAATGACAAAACACATCAGTAGCTTAGAAATCAATGACGAGTCGTCGCAGGCGAATGAAATATTTCCACCATCTCTGACGCCGCTTCATTCTTACTTTCAACATTTATTCGATCACCCGTGTTATGATATTTCGAGTCAAGCGAGAAATGATTTCTTTGATACGAAAGTTGGATTCATGACAGACGCTGATGCGTAAGTAATCAGAAATTAGATATTAAATAGCGGCATTCTGTATGCGACCGCGATTAATCGAATTATTATAATTTATTTTTAGTTTGATCGAGCTAGCTACGAAATGCGATTTAGAATTAGAAATAATCAACTCGAGCGCACATTTCCTCGAAAAATATGTCCCTCCGTTTGAACAGCCTCGACTGCCGAACGTCGCGGAATTAAAAATAAATGTCGAAGTCAAAGACGTTTCCAAAAATCAAAACGAGATGGAAAAGGAAAGTTTAAACGACTATTTGCACTCTAAAATACCGTGCGCTATTAAAATGGACGTCACCAAAAAGCAGTATTATGACAGCATTGAAAGTACAATTAAAGCTTTCGAAAGCATTGATCTGACAAACGATTTTACATTTACCGAAACCTTATCGAACGGGAGATTAGCGATACCCACAGATAGCGATGACGAGGATGTAGAAGATCCGAATATCAATAATTTGAATGGGGAAATAATGCTACAAGACGACAAGTTCTGTGATAAATACAATATAGAGTTATCGCTCCCAGAGAAAGAATCTTTATCTGCAAAGGGGAAGTTACGTCGAAAAAAGGTTCAATTTGAGCGAAATACTAAGGGTCAATTTGTCAGAGCTATAGAGACTGACGATTTTGATGATATCATTGATAAGGAAATTGATAAGGAAGTTGAACAGCAATTAGCGATCAAAACCAATAAAAACCAAAAGAATATATTTTTACACGACGAAATAAATCTCAGTGACATCAATGTCGATGCTCTTGATATAAACGGCAGACTTCTCAACCTGGACGAAGTTTCATTTTTTCCGGAAGTGGATGACCCTTTCGCGCCGGTGAACAACATATTTAACAATAGTCACAAGTTTTTTCGTCCGTTCAAGGAATATTGGATGTACCACTGCATCTTCAGTCGCGTAAAAGCGAAAAACTTTTCGGTGTTCGAAAGATCGCTACCGGCAAGCTTTCGCTGGCTATTGAACGAATGCGCGCTCATCGCGGAAATGCGTACCGAGGATCTATACGAGGAAGTATGTTTAATAGAAACTTATCATTCGCACGTTCTGACACTCGAAAGTGACGATTCAATACCCAAAAATCAGAAGCGCTTTATCATAAGTAGATGGTAGATTTAAATAAATTTTTGTACTACATATAACAGTAAGATAGCAATACTTTGTTACAAAGGTGAACGTCGATCAATTGCCCTAACTGGACATCCTTCTCATAGATCCTTGAAACTTTTACGTTCTTTGCAATTATTCCATGAAAACTTGTTCCTTTAAAGAAGCTGTAAAATCCGTGATCCCATATTTTTTAATATCATTTAAATCATCTCGTTTCTAAATATAATTTCCGTTTATCGACCGCGAGAGCGTGGAACGTCGTTTAATAGCCGGAGTCGACATTGTGTGGCGCCCTGGTCAAGCAACTGTTGCACTCGTGGAGAGGCTCGCTGGTTCCTCGGTGTGTATAGTGTATCCTCGTCCCGTCCCGAGCCCGATGGCTCGAGGGACGGTCCGTAGTCGTTTTAGTAGTAAACACCAGTCGGTGTAAGACAGTGTCGGATGGCTATCATCGTTCCACGCTCGTCGCTACCACTGCTCGTGGCGTGTGTACGATTAGGAGGCGGCGGTGTGTACTACGCTCGGTCCGCGTGTGCGTTGTCCACGTCCGTTTCTTAAACGAAGACCGCTCGGGTATTCGTGCGCGCGTACTTATTTACACAGGTCGGGAACATTGGTTTAACCCTCGTGTTCTAGAAGTGTTAGACCTGACAACGCGCTCCCGTTCACGCTATAGATGATATAGATTATATTCTACGAGCATAAACGGTGGTATTGTCGGTCGCGAAAAGTGCACTCCTGTGCGTATACAACTTCGTGACGCACCTGCTCTCCCCGTGGTCCTGGTGTCGTTCACCGAGAGGCGCCTGATCGCATCGCCGCAACAACTTCCTGTCTATCGTAAGTAACCATTGAATTTTATCATATTTATTTACGGAACGCGTGCTCGACGAAGGAAATCGATTCGCCTGTTTCGGAACATCTACCTTTTTCGACTCGTATCACTGACGTAACGTTCTTTCGCAGTTCGAGACGGAGTTTTAATTGATCTTCTTGCCCAGCAATTGATTGACAGATATGGAGAAACGAGAGATAAGTGCGATTCGTTTTCGAGAGCCACTTCGGTGTATCGAGTACAGTGAACGTTGTTCCGGAGCAGGCTCTTGATTAATCACGTTGCGACGTGTCAGATGCATCGATCTTCTTGTCGGCATGCGATTACTCGAACCGGGTATTGACCAGAGATCGGTCGGCTAGCGAATGTGATTGAAAACGCGTTCGTCGCACCTGCTTCCCTCGATTCAATCTCACCACGTGTGCAACCGACAATTGATCGATCCCACGATCGTCGATCATTACGCGAATTACTCTTACATGAAACTGTCTTTTCTTTCGCGTTAGGAGATTCGAAGTAGTAACGTCAAAGACGAGCTACCGCCTGAACGGGATTTGATCTTTGTTGATTTCGCGAATACTTGGATGTAGAAAGATAAATCTTTCTAGAGTATGTATCAAGTGGCTGACAAGCCGAATACTCGTTAAGTGGAAGTTCGCCTTCCGATCGATCCCTCTCAGCTGTTCCGTTATCGAAAGCGATCAACACGCAGATTGCTATCTACTCAGACAGGCGAGACAGCGAGATTCTGCACGAGATAAGAATCCGCAGATCGGTAAACGCGAGCACGTCAACCGCGAGCGCAAATCGTGCAAAAAGGGTTGAGCCGCTTTCCTCTAGTCCTTTTGTCCGCGGTGGCATCGTCCGAGACTTACGTACACGCTGGACAATAACTCTAAACTTGCTGTTCGAAGAGCGCTAGCTCCTATTTCATGTCGCGTCCGGGGTATTAAAGAGGATGGACTCGGGGGACTACTAAATCAGACGAGATTGCAAAACTCATGAACGTCGTTTTCTAGGAACGCACCGTGCATCCTTTTCTTGTCACTGATTTATTAAAGATAAGTTCGATCCAGAAGCTCGGATACTTCATGCACGCAGCTTGCACGAGGATTATCATTAAATTCCATAAAATGAGATGAAATATCGTAGAGAGGTTTATATTACGATTACACGGAGGTGTCATCCGTTAATTAAATACACGATCGATTTCAATGCGCCTTGCACGTGTGCAAGTACGTTTTAATTGACTGAATAAATATAAACCAGCGACGCGACGACGACGTTCCTGTTTAAATACTGAACTTATTGACTCGTCACATTGCGTATGGCCAGCGTTCCCAGACTTGCCTTCGTCGATTCCCGTTAAGAATTATTCGCCTCATCTTTTGTTTGCTTATTTCCATCGTTTCTGGGCGTGACAACCGGTCGATCCGCGTGTCTACGCATAAAAGGGAGCCTTATTTTTAATTTCAATGGGTTTCACGCGACCCGTGGCTAATACGTATCGATTGTAAAAGAAAAATTCGTTCGGTAATTAGGCATCGAACGGTTCAACGAACCGCTCCTTTCTCTAATTGTAAGCGCGTCTCATCGAACAATCTCCAGTAGGTACTGCGCTATCGTCGATTGCACATCGTTAAGGCGACCTACGTCGTGGAGCAACACGCAGGGCGCATCGAGGTTGCACTCGCATCGGTGCGTTTTATATTTAGTATCTCTCCCTTAGGCCACTTTGAAAGTTTCTGCAACGTTTGGGAAATAAACAGTCCGGTCGCATGGTTATAAATTGCCACCGAGTCGCCCCGAGACGATGCGTCGTCTCAATATCTTTCGCGTCGCGACGAGGGTAGCGAGACTAATTGGTGCTAGTTATCGGTGGCTCATACCGGTTAACGTCGTGAGATCAACGACGACCAGTTGCTCGCTGACGAATCGCCTTTTCCTGGTTACGCCTCGCGTCCATTAGTTCCTCGAATACGTTCAACGTCGAGAGAAAGACTAACTAAATAGAAAGTTCGTATGGTATTCCATTTTCACTTGAACAAAGATCGGACCGTCGCAAGTGTGCGATAGTCGATAAGTAAATTCATCGACGTTGCTGTCGGGTTTAACAATGAGAATACCAAGATTGATCTCGAGTCGGACGCGTAGGTGAGACGACGGGGCTCCAGCCGCGACGATGATTGACCATCGTTTAACGTCGACCATTGGGAAAGCAGACACGCCTAGGTAAACTCTTAGGGTTATATCGTGTAGTTTCAGTAGTCCGCGTATTTTCGTACGAACTTTATCGCGTAGCAGGGCATACGAGAAACAAGGTTAATCGTCAACATACATCTCTTCGTTGACTCGTTCGTCGTTTACCAATTGATCCGACTTTGAAAGCTTTTTAATGACCTCGTCCGTCGATCAGCCTCGTATCAGCAGCGTTTAAAGTATTTCATGTAAAAACGAATTAACTTTAGAACTCGTTGACACAAGAAGTTGATGCGATATCGGGAGGAACGTAATTTCTGGTTCGCACGTTTTTCATGGCCCTTCGGTTCTACTCGGCTCGTAAAAACACTCCTACGAGATATTCGTATCCGATGCCTGGTTAAATCCTCTCGTTTCCCATCCGGTTCATCTTGCGAAGAGCCCTCTCGTACCTCGGTTTCCTCGGACTCGTATTTGACCTACTCCCGCGGAGGTTCTTTCCAGCCGGTCGATCGAACCTGTCTCCCTTTCTGCTCTTCGGAGGCTAATGGGAACAGAGATGCCTCGGAAATATCCAGAAATCGTGCAGTAGCTTCCGCTCCTCTACGAGTCGTCGACTGGAGGGCTTTTCAATTTCCCCCCCGAGATGTCTTGATAAAGCCACTCGAAGGGAGCGAATTTTAATCGACTGTAAACTAGCCGCTAGCTTCGATGAAGTACCGTTCAAGTAGACCTCTCGTTGACTCGTCGTTCGGGACAGACGAGAGGGACATCGATATCGGTTTCATTTTTCACCGAATCCACGGCTTCCAACTTTCTCGTTGTGCCATGCTTTCGGATGGCCGCGAGCCAACTTTCCGCCTCGACTTTTCTCTCCGGGCTGCATTTTTTTTTTCCCCTTCGAACCGCATCTGCACCGCGGCGTGCTCCAAATTCCCCTCATCGATCGCCCGGAGAACAATCGTTTCGTCCCGCGGCACGTCCCCGTGACACGGTAAGAAAACGTCGACGCTGTCGATCGAAAAAGAAAACCGGTGGAACTGCCCTTTCCACGGTAACCGGATAATCGTGACGCGGTTTCACGGTTCGCACCCACCCTATTCTGTCGCGAAATTCTTTCGATATTCAGCCGATGATGAACAGATCGACACGTGTGGAGTTCGGAAACCCGATTCCTTCCATTATGTTCTCCTCCCTTAACCGCGGACATAATTATTCTAGGAAATGTATAGCACCTGTGATCGAACTCTCCGTTGACTCTTCACCTTTGAACTTTCATAAATTAATACTAGCCAGCATTACCGGATTATAATCTTAATGGAATTCGAGTCGAGTGCGACGTCGATAACAATTTCCCTTCTTTTGAAGTCTCGTCCTGGCACTTTTTTATATGCACAGATCGCAACGTGGAATCGATTTGCATCCCGTTCGTTATTTGTCTTCTTCCGAGCGCTGTGGCCTCTCTTGCGAAACGCACCGTTTTCTTTTCAATCAACGTCCACTCCGGTCGTCCTATCGATCTTTCTTAAGAAGTAATTAGTTCTCCTACGACGACGCAGCCCGTGTCGCGAAGAAGGGTTACGAACAATGTACGCACATCGATTCGCAGAGACGATTATGCGTCGATTTAAATTGTAATACTGCATGCTCAAACTATTTCAATTAAATTTGATCTCCTTGAGGAATATTAATTAGTAGAGAATTTTATTAACGTCCTTCGTTTAATTGGAAGGTAGAAACGCGAGGTTTCGTTTCGCTTGTTTGTTCATTGATAAATGATCGGGTGTCGGGTGCGAGGGCGAGGGCAAGGCGATCCAGGGAGTGCACGTGCTCCAGGAGAACGAGAGCAAGGAATACTCGGCCTTTCACCTTGAAACAACACCCAAAAATAACCGGGTGTTCTCTATTTTCGGGCAAACTCACTTTCGGCCGTCGAGTACACACGCTTTGCACTCTGTCTCGGATGCATACTTCGCATGTACGCCCTCGAAACCGGCTACGTCCATCCGAAGGACTTTTGAACTCAAGCCTACATAGTACATTTAAAATTTTCTGTGGTGGTTTTTCATAATGATTTCTATTCTTATCTTTATTCTTATCTTATATCTTTATCTTATAATTTTCATAATGACTTCTATTTCATATCAATCTATATTTTCAGATTCATTTAAATTTTATAATGTTAAGAATGCTAGTAAAACATTTACGATTTTTTTTTATAAAAATCTACATAATTAGTTTTTATGTCACATTATTCGATATGAATATTCGCAATTAGAGATCGTATAAAGAATCTAATGAGGCAGTTATTCTCTACACGTTCTGCAAAGTATTCATGAAAAATTTCGCGCCTCACTGGATTTCAACGACCCGCAAATTCGTCCCATTGTCACACGGTCCTGATCGCGGAAATTACGTCGACGGGAAACGTATTGTCTCTAGCTGCCTCTTTGTACTCTCGTTTTCGTCATAATTAATAATAATTACTTACCTACCTCCTCGTGTAATTGCTGTGCAAATGATCAGAACTGAAAGATCAACGCTACCTACCGAGGAAAGTATACATATTTGTATAAAAGAAAAGCAATCTCTTTCTATTTACCTGAGACTTTAAACGCCTCGTAAATCATGTCGCGAAGCGGAGGAAAATGAGTAAATTTCGTTCCCATTCGGGACACGCAAATATCTTTTTTCCAAGGACGTTCCAAGGCAAAGGCGCAGGAAAACGAAGGGAATAAATGCGTCGCTTAAAAAAAGCCGGGGGAAAAAAAAAATGAGATTGATTACGACAACAAGTGGATCGGAT